GAGAAAGAAAAGGATAGTTAGCAAATTTATATGATAGTTAGTGACGTCGAAATAAGACATGCGCATACATGTCATTCTATCAAGTGTCATCAAGTAACCATTTCACACATTGTTAACATTTTCATATTTGATGATGATTAATCGATTTAATCAGTTAAAAAATATTTTGCTTATGATTTCTATTGACACGGATTTATTTTTAAAAGCGGATTATATATCGCAAATAAATATCTTAGTTTTTTTTATTTCTAAAGTTCTCTACAAGATAATTCAATTAATCTAATTGACTTTTGAATTATAATAAGGATATACAGAGATTTTGATCATGTTATATGTTCTTAAGGGAGAATATTTACATAAATCTTCTTTGGACACTAATTGATAAATTAGATTTTATAAATTCTAATGGAGATTAAATAAATTTAAGTTTAATAAATTTGTTTAGAAGTTAGGTGGTTATTGAATCTGATCTATAGAATGTAAAATTTAATCTTAATGATCAAATACTATAAAGATTAAATTCTGAACTTAGATTTGTATGTATCTAATTAACATTCTATCAAATATAAAACTCTTTATTAATGAAATTTGAATATATAAAAAAATTTAATTTCGAGTAGTTTTGACAAGAGACGTTCAAAATAATAATAATAACGTGATTTTTATGTAATCATTGTTAAAATTGCCTGTAGATATAATCAAACGTGTTCTATATAGCATAAACAAGCACGTAGTAAACTTAAATAAATATATATTTCTATTGGAAGTATGACAATTGCAAATTAATCATGTGCCCTTTTCACATAGTTTGTATCAATTGAAAAATACTAAATAATCTTTTATTGTTACTTGTTATATCTACGGAAAGAAGAACATGGGAATTTATTTTATGAATAAACAGGTGTATATCTTTATTCTAATAATAAATCAATGTTCTTACTATGATTTATTATCTGATTGTTTTACTTTACTATAATAAATAAAAAAAAACGAAGGACAAAATATGTTGACTTAATTCCTATATTCCAATTTCTACTAAGAATGAGCTCACTTACTTCCACCAATTCGTGCATTCATTACCACAGCAACACCCATATTTTTTTTATTATTTTAAAATACCTTAAAAAGCTTATAATCTAAAATATCTGAATGAAAAAATAAACAATAGATGATACATTCAAATGTATGCGTGACATTACAACTAGTATAATCTGATATTTAATCAAATCTATGTGCTTTTTTTTTCTCCTGATTAATTCTCTCTTTTCTTTCACAAGATATTAAATATTAATCTGTATCCATTAGAGAAGTACAGAAAAATGCTTTTTATCGTAAGTATATATATAAATCTGAGTGAGAAAAATCTTGAAAAAAAACCTATTCTCAATAGAAATACAAAGACAAAGACATTAAACTTATATTTGTCTATTCTTGATCTCATTAATATATGATATCATATTCGAGTATTGCTATCTATACTATAAGTTTGTATAAAAAAATATATATATATGTCTATAGAAAGATAAAGAACGTCATATCCTATTATTTTACGGGTTTTTATTATCGAATGCACTATGCATAGAAATGGCAGAACTTATTGCTATGATATTCTCATATTCCTTAAGAAAATATAAAAATCAATCACATATGTATTTGATATGATCAAAAGAAAGTTGTTTTTTTATTTTTACTTACTTAGAAGACGTCGACGTACAAATCTTTGTGTTTTTGCAATAAATGATGAAGTAAAGTTTGTTTTATTTTTTGTTTGTCGTTTGAAATGACTCATAACTATTGATTGATTTAATTAAGTAGAATGAAACTTTTAAACCAGAATATATTCAATATTATGAAAGAGAAAGAAATAGAACATTGATGAGTAATGTTTTCTTTTTTTATATTAATTGAAATGAACAGAGAATTTCTTTTTATAAATATAATATTATTGAAACATTACATGTTATGAGTAAACTAGACAATAAATAGTTTTCTAATGATTTTTTTAACTTGAGGCTATATAATAATGTAGATATATATATATATATATATGTCATGTAAGTGCAATATTGACTTTAGGATTACGAGAGAATATTTAGCGTGACTTTCTAATGATGAATTATAATGATCTATAGTTTAAGGATTGTCACGGCGTTCCTATTCTACTCACAATCATTATTATATAAACATTAGTATAAAATTAAATAAAGATTAGAAAGCGTAAGTCAGAAAGAAATATGGTTATTATACAAAGTAGAATAGAATATGCTATGAATATATATATCGTGTATTAAAATTTGATAGATGAATTGAAAGATATCTTCATATGATCAATGGAGTCTTTCTTTATCTTTTGACATATTATTCTATTTCATGGTAAAAAGTATCACGCTAACAATTGCATTATACTAATACGTTATCTAATTTATGAACTAGATTATATCTTCGTAGTCAGTGTAACTGTACATTTTTTAAAAACAAAATTGTATCATTTTTTTATCAATCAAATTTTGGAATATCTGTTCTTTGTTTATTGAGAAATATTGTTGTATATCGAAATATATGAATAGAATTGATTGAAGAAAAGAAAGTACCTTCCATGTGCAAAGATATTTATCTCATATATTTAGTATGGCAAACAAGTATGTAACAGAACGAAGAAAAAAAACGAAAGAAGTGGTAAAGATAGGCATCACTAGTAACAATTATTAAAAAATGATCGGACTATTTATGTACTGTCGGACAGAAGAAAGAAACGAAGAACGAACGAAAGAAAGAAAGAAAGAAAAAAAATGGTCGAATGAATTTATATGCTTTTTTTTCGAATTTTCATTATAGAACTATTGTTATTATTATGCGTTAAAGACTAATAACAAGAATATGTCCGATTCTTCATTGTATTTATCCAGTAAAGGTATGCCATATCGTATTAATATAACAAATTTATATTTTATATTTAGAAACTTCACGTAAAAATGATCAACGATTGCATAATCTTTTTTATCGTAAATCAAAACTTGAAAGCGTCAATGAAACATCAGCATTACTAAGTGGATTTGCTATTGTAAATTTTTCTTCTACTATAATATATATACATATATATTAATTATTTCTTTTAAATATATTTTTTTTAAAGGTTGCAATCGTCGAATTATCATTAGATTCATATAAAGGTCAAAGTTCAAATGATAATTTATTAATTTGTTATGCAATAATATCATGTTTATTAGTTGGTATACATCTACTTGCTTTATTAATGTCTATGTGTATATTACCTGAATTAAAAAGTGTAATACGTCAAAGTGATTATTGGATCAATAATGAAAATAGTAAACCGTTATCATCTTTAAATATTTATATTGAAATAGCATGGGTTGTATCAACAGGTTTAGGTCTGTTTTTATTTATTATTGAACTTGGTATAATTATATGGATTAAAGTTAGTGGATTTTCACGTACAGCAGCTATTTCTGCTCTTGTTACACTGTGCATTGTTGGTTTGCCATTTATTTTATTTGCTGTTGGTTTTTATATTCGTGTGACACGAGCAAAAGTCCATCTACATCAAACAGATTTAGATAAAATTGAACGTGGTGCTATTGCTCGTGGACTTCTATTAAATAATCCAGTTATTACACCACCAAGAAGTACGGTAGAATTTCATGTAGATGAACATCATCCAACCTAAAGGCTTTATTCAATAAAATATAATAATATGTGTCTTGTTAATTTTTATAAGAAGTATAGTTTTATTATATCGAAAATGAAGAAGAATCTCTGATGTACTTCGTACTATCGAGAAATATAAAATATGACTGTATAATTATATTCGATAGTTTCTGGGACTATAGTGTTTACAATCAGACTTAATCTTCAAATATACGACTTATTTTAAGGACCTGGATCATAAACTAATAGAAAATAAGATTAATCACGTTCAGCAGATAGTTTTGACAAGTATCTAAGATAAGACAATACTTGTGAAAATCGTTTAAAGAAATAACAGATGAATGTATTAAATAGAGCGTAGTTAAATTCATTATGCCATAATAGAGTAAATATTTTACTTATTTATCAAGTCTATTTTTAATAACGGAAAGATTTTTTTTGTTTTACTTGAAATAAATATCTTCATTGAAATAATCATTATTAAAGTTGCTCCATATTCATATTGATTTTATGAAAGAGATAAAACTCTCAAAACGACTATTGAATCTTCGAGTTTTCAATGGGGAAAAAAAAATTAAGAAGAATCCTTTTTGGTAATTTATTCTCATATGATGGGATTAACTTCAATGGATAATCAAATATAATATAACAAGAAATCTCGAAAAGATAAAATTATCAACATATTTGAAGAATATTAATGTTCTTCTTTACTATCTTGATTCAAAAAATCGATAAGAATTCTCTCAAATATCTTAAACATGACTTTATTAAAAATATAATGTTAATATAATTCGAATTTAATGTTCATTTATTAATCGAAGATTGTAATATGATCATGTATAGTGTAACAAACTGAAACGTAAAAAAAACACTTGCTAAAATAATGAAGTAAGAAATGATCTTGCTAAATCGATAATACTAAATTCATCTTTTATATAATTATCGAAATCAAATTATTTCACAAAAATCAAGTGGTCATCTTCGAACTGAAAAACTTGATGCTGCTATTGTTGTTATATACAGAAAACTAGATAAATATGCTCTTAAAATAAATCTATAGAACATTAAATCAATAGTTAAATTTGTGAGGTATATACCGAATAAATAAATAATCTCAATGATCGTTCTGTTGATCGAAAAAGTCTCTTAATCGTCTAATGAACCCAAAAAGCTAATAGATCTTGTATAATCTACGATTTTAAATCAATTATATATTTATTTGAAGAAAATATTCATTTTATTTCTCGTTGCAACTCATTTATTTGCACATGCTTAACTTTCACTGCAAGTATTTATACAAACAGACAAGAACGAAAAAAGAAAAGATGACAACTAAAATAATCAAACATGACAGTTTGTTTTGTTCGTCGTCAATGTACTTATTTTTGTTGATGTCTCTTGTACTTGGTATTTACATTTTTAAAAGCATTCAAAAAAGAATACAATCATTTGCCATTAAATAATAGCTTAGTCATCGACAAACTTTCTTTTCCTGGAATTCTTTTGGATTTATAGAAGCCGCGTAGATACCCTTAATAATACCTTTTTATTTTTTATAGTAAAGCAAAGAGTGATAATCTGTGTTTTGAACATATCTTGAGAGTGCTGTATTTTAAATACAGCATCATTGTTAACACTTCATACAATTGTTGTGAACCTCACTGATGAAACAACAAGATGATGAATGACAGAGAGAGAAAAAAAGAAAGAAAAAAAAATAAAATTCGTTGAAAAAGTCTATTCGCTTGAAACAGCATGGCTCTACATTTAGAATTCAAATTTGCTAGTTGTCACATCCCTTAAAACCTCCTATATCCAGACGCTATTTCATAGCAAATCCACTAGAGTACCTGTAAAGGAATTCCAATGCCAACAAATAAGTTTTCTTTCAGAAATAAGACACGAACAATGGCTTAAAGATCAACAGGTGTCTTTGGTACTGACATACATGAGTTCCACATTTTTAGCCTCAATGGGACTCCGCTGGCAAGTTTTTTTTAGCAAAATCGATGGTATTCCGTAGTTCAGTGAATAACTACCAGTTCGGTTTATGCTATTTTTATTTAAATTATTTTATCTCTGTTTGAAATGTTGATTTTTACTCAAAAAACTCGACTTTAGTTTGCTGTAATTTTCTCATTGATTCATTAACCTCAGCCCTGATAATTTTTTTGCGGCACTGTCTTGAATTTCACTTAAATATGGAGATTCTAATATTGTTTATTGAATTAAGCAAAAAAGAAAAGCATTACAATAGACAAGATAATTATAAAGAAGAGCGAATCAATAAAAAGCTATGTGCGTATAAATCAATTGCAATGTACACTATTTGTTATAATATGTCCTTTTTTCTAAAAAGCTTCAAGCTAAACTTCAATAAAATAAAATGTCATAATTAATAATTTAAAAATAAAATCATATTAATATAAAGTTTGTCTGTAGTATTTTAGAGTTTCATAAATTTTTGCACGCGATTATTGACATCATCACCAATATACATATTCATTGCTGAATCAAATGCAATACCTCGTGGAGAATTTAATTGTGTTGCACCACTACCCGCAGTACCATTTCCGGCAATGGTAAAACCAACATTACTATTAGCACAGAACAATTGGACCCTACTATTACCAAAATCAACCACATACACATTCATATAATTATCAATCTTAATTCCCATCGGACTATTTAAGTGAGTGGAATCAGAACCTGATACACCGGGCACACCAGCAATGACACTCCCTGATAAAGCACCAGGAGTCCAACGTATAACTGAATGTCCATTATAATTTGTTATGAATAGATCATTACTTACAGACGGTAAATAATGAATACCCCATGGTCCGTTCAATGATGTATTTGTATTGCTACCTCCAACTCCACCAGCCACAAGAACTCCATTAGTACCCGAAGTTGAATTTGTTAAATAACGTACAATTCGATGATTTCCAGTATCAGCAACATACATATATGTTTCTGTTGGATCAAAAGTAAAATAATGTGGAGCATTCATTTGATTTAATGCAGATCCAGCTGATCCATTAGCGCTACCAGCGAAAGTTATAGCATTTGTTGATTTATTAATGAACTTTTGTACTCGACTGTTACCCATATCAGTTACATACATATTTCCAGATCTATCGACATAGACATCATTAGGAAAATATAATTGAGAACTGTTTGATCCTATTGATCCATAGCTTCCAGCTACGATCGTTGCATTTATAGCATTTTTCAATAGTTTCCATACAACATAATGACCAGCCTCATCTGCAGCATATAAAGTATCATTCGAGTCAAGAAATACACCAGATGCTGGTACTGGTGCTGCTACTGAACCAAGTACCGTAATACCCGTTTTATTCCAAAGTAAATTACCCGATATACCTAATAATTAAAAGAAAAATTAGCATTAGTTATTCAGTATTTTTGGTTATAATTTTGGTATCGATATTCATATCACTTTCTTTTCATAAAAATGTTTGTAATAATAAATATATAAAATGATATCCTTGTAATCTTACATCATATTATTCTATCTTTATATATATGTACACTGTTCTATTCTCTTTTTAACATGAGTATCATTAATCAGGGGAAGAAGAGACAATATATTTGTAAGAGTTAGAATAAAGTCAGTTATAGAGCAATCATAGGAGAGAAGAGAGAACATGCATTGTATTGTAATGTGTTTTATATTAAACGGTACATGAAAACAAAATACCAGTTATGAAATAAATGTCAATTCAATACTAATGAAATGAAATGAAATATTAAATTTCAATTATTTTCGAAAATTTTTTAAAAAAATTAATATTTTCAGGATACTATAGTATAACTGACTTGCATTTATCTTTACTTACATGGATTTGCTGTTGTTGTTGTACTTGAACTTGTACTGCTTGTAGTAGTTGAGGTAGTAGTAGTTGTGGTACTTGTACTAGTACTGCTCGTAGTAGTTGAGGTAGTAGTAGTTGTGGTACTCGAAGTAGTACTAGTTGAGGTAGTAGTACTTGTAGTACTCGAAGTAGTACTAGTTGAAGTAGTGGTACTTGTAGTAGTTGAGGTAGTTGTACTTGTAGTAGTTGAGGTAGTACTAGTTTCACTAGTTGTGGTAGTGGTACTTGTGGTACTCGAAACAGTCGTAGTTGTTGTGCTTGAACTAGTACTGCTTGTAGTACTCGAAGTAGTACTAGTCGAGGTAGTAGTACTTGTGGTACTCGAGGTAGTACTAGTTGAGGTAGTAGTGCTCGTGGTACTTGAGGTAGTAGTACTTGTGGTACTCGAAGTAGTACTAGTCGAGGTAGTAGTACTTGTGGTACTCGAGGTAGTACTAGTTGAGGTAGTAGTGCTCGTGGTACTTGAGGTAGTAGTACTTGTAGTAGTTGAGGTAGTAGTGCTCGTGGTACTTGAGGTAGTACTAGTCGAAGTAGTAGTACTTGTAGTACTCGAGGTAGTACTGGTTTCACTAGTTGTGGTAGTTGACGTAGTACTAGTGGAGGTAGTAGTACTTGTGGTACTCGAAACGGTCGTAGTTGTTGTACTTGAACTAGTACTGCTTGTAGTAGTCAACGTAGTACTAGTTGTGGTACTAGTTTCACTAGTTGTAGTAGTTGAAGTAGTAGCACTTGTGCTACTCGAAGTAGTTGTGATTTTTGTAGTAGTTTTAGTAGTTGAAGTAGTACTACTTGAAGTAGTTGTTTCTCGATTTGTAGTTATTGTATCACCAGTATTTGTACTAGTTGTGGTAATTCTGCTTGCCATAGTGGATTCTATGCTATATAAGTAAATGATAATATTAGAAAAAATAGAAAACAACAAAATAACTTAGATCATTGTCATATAAACTTGTTTATATTATACTATTCTAATAATTTATTTATTCAATAACTAATAAGTAGCAACTATTGATGTGAGAAGAAAAGAATTTATTCATGTAAAGATTAGTAATGGCGAACATCAAAGATTGTTAAAGTAATATAATGAAACATTCTTAGTAGATTTCGTTAACACTGAAAAATATAGATTAAATATAATTGGATTTTTCTAAAAGTTAAAGATTTGATACTATAGTAATGAAATAAAGAAATTCTTTTTTAACATTTATAGTTTTTGTACTTCTATAATCTATTCTATGTATTCATATGATCATATTATATTCTTGATAATAAGAAATATCTTAGCGATAGTTAAATCATATACTAAAACAATCATCATAATGAAATAAGACAAATATTAAGTTAAATTTTATAATATTATTGCATTCGTCAATATCATTAGAAAATAAATTAGAAGAAATTGAATTGAAAAATCTAATTTTATTATATTTATTATATATAAATAGTGAACTGATAATCGTAGGAAAAGAGGAATTAATCTATCACGTGTCTAACAAAATCTCTATACTTACTTCGATAAACTTCTATAATTTTCTAATGAAGATCTATGCGATTAAACGAAAACAAGAAATATCATTATTCATAACTTATTTTCTGACTGTTTATTATAACTTTTATATTCTCTAATTGTAATTTTACTTGTAAACATTTAAACTAAAATCATACTATGTGCTAGTAATAGTGTATGAATTGAAAATCGACAGAACTAATAAATCCACTTATTTTAAAGAAGGTTTTCTTAATCATAATAGAATTATCTATGACTTTTGTCAACAAAGATAATACTTTCAAATTAGAGTTTAGCAACTGTAGATTTCATAAATTTATACATAAATATTTATTTGATGATATATTATGTTTTAGTATGTTTGAAATAATATTTTAATTATCATCAAATAAATACTTAAAATGAATGTGAATATAAAATTAAATTTGGATTCTTATACCAAATAAAAATAATATTAATTCGAAAATTTCTTAATAAAATAATTTGTAACTTACGTTGATGCTTCTGTTATGTTGTTCAACATAGCTAAAAAAAATAGAAAAATATAAAAAAACATATGATAAAGAAAATATAAAAATCAAATTTAATATTACGTGATAAAATAAGTATACATAAATTTTACTAGAATTTTCTCTTTACTAGAGTTATAAGTTATTAAAAAATGAAAATTTTGATGCATAAGTAAATTTATTTAATACTTAGTTTTTTTTGAATATAAAATATTACATAACCTAGGAAAAGATTTTTCATCGATGATTTCTCCAATCTATGTGTTTGTTATATTGTAATATTTCTAATATAAAATAATCAAATTGATAACTTACAGTTAAATAATTGTTCATTATCAAGAGTAATCATTGTTATAACATTTTGTTGTTGAATTAAATTTCCGTAGTCTATTGAAATATTTGAAAATATTTCACATTGATTATTAGATAAATCAAAAGTTAAAAGATAACATTGCAAATTATTCAAACAAGATATTTCACATTGTACTTGATTTTTTCCAAATATAATAGTAGAAGGAGAACAACCTGTTTTATTACATATATATTTTACACCAAGAAATTTTCTTAAGAATAGTGATCGACTACTTTCACATTGACATTTGATTATCAATAGAAATAATAAGAATAATAATATTGCCTTATTCATTATCAACAAAGACTTCAACTAAAATAAAAAAAAAATTTCTTCTAAAAAGTATTTTCTTTTATTAATTTTTAAAGTAAAAACAAAAAAGATTAGTAATCATTTATTATATGCAAAACGAGGTAGCAGTTCTCACTCGTTTCTAATAATTAATTTTTTCTCAGTAAAAATCAAATTTGATAATTTGTTTTCAAAATAAGAATATTGAGTAAAACATACTCTGAAAAATAGGCTTTATTTGACTTGATTATCTCTTTCATTAATAAAGTTCAAGAACAAACAAAATTAACTATAAAATTTTCAAAACTGTACAAAAAGAAAATAATAAATTGAGAACGACTAGAGCACTTGATTCATTTCTAAAATGATTTTAAAATAATTATAATATTACTTTAAGACGTCAAACACATTTCATTTTTATAAATGAAGTAACTGTTGACGTCATTCTCAGTTAATTATTTTCTTTTTTCATTTGTAAATATTTCATAGTTAATTTTAATTATTTTACTCTCAGAAATATTGCTTTGCTTCTAGAACCTTCTTAATAAAACAAATAACGGAATCAAACAAAAGCTATTTTATAGAGTATGTTTTGTTTCATCTTCTCATTCTCGAGATAAATTATCAAATATAGATTTTACTGAGGAAAAACTTATTATTCATAGCATCTGGCCAAGTATATACATAAAGAAAATTGAAGTACTTTTATTTACTAAGGTTATAGTGTTGAAGTAATTAGTTTTTCTATTTCAATTAGATTAAAAGAAAAGAAATGGAAAATTCAAGTCAGATATTAATCATGAAATACAAATAAAAAAAATACGATGATATATCATTGAGATATGATAAGATAAAAGAAATTCTTCTTTGATAATTTAAATATCAGAATTAATTAAAATGATCAACTATCAGATTGAATAAAAATCGTATAGATAAAGCTTATTAAACTATTTTGACAAGAAGACTATTTTGATTATGTGTTTGATTTCAATTAGATACAATCCTGAAAGATGTATATTCATCAATTGTTTTAGTGTGTATCTTTGTTATTATATGATAATGAAAATAAAATTGAAAAAAATATATCCATATAAATTTTTGATATTGTTGCTAACGAATTGAAAAATAACAATTTAATTTCGAAAAAGTTTGTCTTATGGGTATCTGTGACATAGTCTAGGTATTATTAAATTCTCAGATGAAAATACATTCTTTACATGCTTCAAGTTTCCAAAATTTGAAATATATTATATATGAAAAATTTTATAGTTGTTTTTGTTTTGAATAAATAAATGTAAAAAAACAAGATAATTTCTTATGAACCAAAGTTAAAGATTTAATACCTGTGTATATTCTAATCAATAATATTATATTTAAAGAAAATATATTCAAAAAGAAATTTCTGTTAAAATAAAAATGTTTAATATTTTTCAAAAAAGAAAATAATGTCATAGAAATAAATTGTTTAACTAAATGGAGTTTTCTTTTGTGTTCGACTAATTTTTTTTTCATCATCTTGATGAATATCAACTAAATGTAAAGGTTTTTGCAAATGTTTATATATCTTGTTTTGGATAAGACCTAGGGAACTTAAAAATCAAAAAAAATTCATTTAAATGTTTACTTCAAAACTTTTCATCAAAAAGTTGCATATTTTTAGGTATTTCAAAAAAGTTAAAACTATCACATTGTTTCTGTTATTTTCACGTTATTCTCATTCCATGGCATCGATTATTTCAGAAAAATGGAATTAATTACATTAGTTTAATATCATTTTTTCCGGAGAAAATCTTAATTTTCTGCAGGATTCTTCGCCAATATGTGGAAGATCTAGAAAGGAAACATTAAAGATTTTTTGTTAAGATTTCGACTATCTCAGTAAATTCGAACGAATGTGAACGAAGTTTCTCGTGGTTAAAACGATTGGAAACTTATTTAAGAAATAGTGTGAAACAAGATGATTGTTAGTATTTCGTCTTTTGAATATTGCCAATGATTTCGAAATTAATTTAGATCAAACAATGATAGATTTTATTGCAAAGAAAGATGGAAGAAAACCGATTTACTGAAATGAAGCTTTTTTTTAACTGATATATGTTTTTTTATTTACTTTATTCCAAAAGAAAAGACCAAACGAATAGATTATATTAAAAAAAGCCTTCGATTGTAGCATGAATGAACGTAGTATTTTCATAGTAAGGCATTAAAGATAATTACCATACTTATGTTTACACTGCTGGTCCGCCATTGGGTGAGTGTTACTATGATTGCGAATGAGAAAGAGAAAGTCCCACCCACATTCTCTGAATCTCAATAGTTTTCTCTTATGCAGAGAAGAGATGGATGTGGTTGTAGATGAAGTAGATTATGTAATTCACACCCTGTTCGAGATATGCGACAAACACATTATGTAAAAGTCGTACATTAAGATGTCATGGAATATCATCAATTAACACATTTAAAAAGATTGAGTTTCCCAGACAACGTCGGGTTATTCTGATAGTAATAACATAAAAGAAAAATTTATTTACAAATTATCTCAATAAATAAAAACTAACATAAAATTTATTTATAAGTGATAAGATATTCGGGTAAAACATGTCGATTTGAATAGACAATATGAATATTAGATTCACCCGTAGTTGAATCATAATTCGATGGACATGTTCTCATTGTTGGATTGCCTTGACAACTTCGACCAATAAGTACACGACACATGAGTATTCTTTTTTCATTTGTTAATGGATCGGGTAGAGCATATCTATCACTAACTATTCGACTTGCTGAAAAATAAAATCCATGACCATAATACGTACCTAAAATGAATAATTAATCAGTCTAGAGTTTTATTTTAATTTTAAAATTTTTACCATTTCTTCCGATACGAAGATGATCAAATCCATTATTAAGAATCTGTTCAGCTGATGCATATGGACAGCCATGAAATAAAAGTTTCTCAGTAGCATCATCTCCAATTCTATTATCAATCATTTTCTTTTGATTAAGATATTGCATTAACCATACTGTATTATCAATTCGATGAATTTCAACAATCGATGATGCTCCATCATCGAAATCAGCAGCAACTCGTCGAAATTCACCTGATTCTGTATTAACTTTTGTTAAAACACTTGCTGGTACAGACCAATTTTCAGTTGAAATTGTTGTCAGACTTAAACCAGTTGTATCTGGTAAATCAAATCGAGAATCAAATGCATCACGAGTTTCAATAAGAAGAGAAAATGCTTCACTCTCTGACATTGTGCCTTGAATAATACTTTCAACTTTAATAACACCACGATCAAATATCAAACAAATAAGTAATGGATAAGTTTCTATCAAAGATGAATCAATTACTGCACCTACTTCTTCACCTACATGTGTTACAACAGTCGTCAAAAGTCTATATAAATATAAATAGTAATTTATTTTTATTGTCTACGTTTGTCTTACTCATGATAGTTTTCTTTTGTTAAATTCCACGACCATAAAACAAATTGAGCAGTAAGATAAGTACCGACTGATTCTGACCATAGTACAGTTTCATTAAAGATTTGTGTAGCTATACTTTGATCATTATGTATATAAAGTACTAATGGTTGTGGCTAAAAAAAACTTTCATATATTACAATTATCATAATAATAAATCAAACATACATTAGTTGAATTAAACAAAGAATTTAATAAAGTCTGATCAAGTGATTCTTGATCGAGTGAAGTTAATGTTGCTGAATATTGATTAGCAAGTTCATAACATAATTCTTCTTGTTCGAGTACTAAATAATTAATCATGTCAAAATTTATTTACAACAATTTTACTATATCTTACTTTTACTATCATCAAACATTGTGAAAAGATTTTCATTGATCGTCGACTATATAAATTTCAAATAGTTGAAATAAAAGAAAATTTGTATCAACTTACTGGCATATCATTAGATTGTACTTCGGTCATTTTTTGTTAGATTTTCTTATACACGTATACTTGAAATTATATTTTTATCGATTTAAATGCAAAATTGTATAGGTTTTTATTCATCTTTACAAGACCAAACTGGAAAAAACCTTTTTTTTTGTTCTTTTTTTCCCAAAACGTCACTCCATCGTATCTTGAAGTATTACATTCATAGAACGAAAAAGAAAAAATAAATATTTCAAGTATGTTAACTTTATTTACACTTGGAAAAAAGCCCAGTAACATTAATTTTATTGTGTCTTTCACAAGTAAAACTGGGTTTATGATTTATTATTCTTTACAAAAACCATGATAACCAAATCTTTCATTTGCAAATAAATTTATTATTGTGTTGAAAAGCGTTTTAACATACTCGCCACGAGTGAAACAGAAAGAAAGAGACAAACCACACACAATGAGTCAAGATATATTATCAGTCTTATAACTTGATTAATTCAATGCTTTAGTTTTCGAAATAAATAAATTTTTAATTATTTTGTAATCATTCGATACATCTTTATAGGTTAATACAAACAATTTCTTCATATGTATTTGTTTATATTTATCTGATAATTGAAGATTACACAATAATTTAAACCTTGACTTGAAAAATCATTGAATATAGGTTATTAATATTAAATGATTTGGTATAACACTTAAGAATATTACTAATAGGTTCATATAAATTCTTTCTCTCATTAAAGAACTATCGTATGAGTCAAATGATTCGTACTAGATGAGAAAGAAATAAACTCTTATTCTTTTCTTTCTTTTCCATCAACAAATAACATACAAGTTCGTTTTGTCTATTCTCTATAACATTTATAAGGTTAATTGTCATAACTCTCTGTATTCATCAACGTATATACATTTATCGTATAAGAGAATACAGAACTTATTTATCCTTTTATTCACCGGTTACTATATGGTACTAATAGTCCTATGCATAGTACACTATTAAATTTCGATTTATATGAATAACGCCTTACAATGCTTGATTTAGACAATATTTTATATGAAAAATTAGTAGTTTTAATGATTTATTTAACATTTATTATAATTCAATCTTCGTCCGATATGGAGTTTTTACCAACACGTATTGAACGTGATACGTATGATGAACGAGAAAAACTTGTATCAACTTATAAAATAATATCTAAAAGTCAATGTTTATTACAAATGCGTTCATTTGATGGTTATATTCATGCTAAACATATTACTAATCTTCATGATACAAAAGAAACTATTGATGGTAAGTAATGTGTTAACAAGTTTATTCTTGGATAGTAAAAAAAGAAGAAATTGCTAATGTATCAGATGAGACACTTGATAAATAATAGAAGAAGATAAAACCTTGTTATTATCATCTAATAAAGATAATTTCTACAGGGAGAATATACGTATTATTAACAAGGTCATAGCGATCTTCTTCAAACATTTAATCAATCTGTATCATATCAAATATGTTGATGCAAATTGATAGGATTACTGAGTAAAATACGTTTTTTTTTCTTTTTTTTTAGGCATTTTTTTATTTCTTCCTGTTGCTGTGAATCTATTTTTAATTCAACATAAAGAAAGTAAACGTTATTTATGTGGTCGAAATAATCAATTATTTGGTCTTGTAAGTAAAATAATTGAAATTTCAATAGTTTTATATGTTTTCTATTATGATAAGATTAAAGCAAATGAACGTGAATGTTTATTTGAAGCAAAACGTTCTGATGTTGATTTTGGTTATTGGGATTCTTATCGTTTATTTTATGAAAATTCTAATCAAGGTTATCTATCTATTTCATATGAATGTCATACAAGATTACGAAAAAAATATTCCAATGATAAATATTTAAATTTCCTTGCTTTTATTCGTATTAATACAGATATAACAAATTCATATCAAAATCAAACATATTTTAAATCATTAAATCATTATAATAATTATCGACAAAAATTTATAAAATCTTATACATATCATATGAATAGATTTAAAAGAACTCGTTAAATTTTTTTATGTTATAAATAATGACTCAAAAATGCTGCAGTCAAAACATGTGTGCAGAATAAGTAAAAAAAAATGTAATTGCACCATATCAACTGTATATCAATATAAGAACAAGAAAAATAGGAACATGTTATCAGTGACTGGCTTGTTTTCTTGGGGATACTTCGTCTGAGAACTGGAGGGATGACAAATATGTTTACCTGTTTGCTGTAGTGAAACCAGGACGGTTGGCACGGAAGTCGCTATCCGCTAAGGAGTGTGTAACAACTCACCTGTCGAATGGCCAGGTATTCTGTCATGTACTTAGAATCCCCATACGCTATCCAATCACATTTTTTTTAAAAAATTTAATAAAAAAAAAAGAAACGATTGAAAATCAGTGTTTTTTTTTTATTAGAACTAAAATTTATATTGTCATATATATATGATGAAAAATTTATTTTGTCCAATAATCAGGATTTGATTTTAACCATTGAATAGTTTTTTCTAATCCTTGATCAAATGTAACTTGTTCTTTCCAACCAAGTGATTTAATTAATCCACTTGTTGTTGTACAATATCTTTTTTCTGTAAATGATCGAGCTTTAACATATGAAGTAATATCATCAAGTTGTTGATTTGAATGTAATTTTTCTAAAATATATTTCGCTATATCAAGAACATTTAATTCATTTGATGTTCCAATATTATAAATCATTTTAGGTTTTCCTTTATTTAAAATAATATCAACAGCATTTATAACATCATCAACATAAAGATAATGACGTATTTGTTTACCATCATCATGAATTTTTAATTTTTCACCTTGTAAAACATTAGTAATAAATGTTGGAATAACTTTTTCAATATGTTGTCGTGGACCATAGACATTACATAAACGAATTATACAATATGGTAATTTAAAACTTTCACCATAGGATTTAACAAGAAATTCAGCTGCTGCAACTGTTGCTGCATATGGATTAAGTGGATTAAGAAGACAAAATTCTTGATTACTGCCGGCAGGTGTTTCACCATAAACTTCATCAGTACTAATATGAATAAATTTTTGTATTTTACCATATATACGACTAGCTTCAAGAACAGAATGTGTTCCATAAACATTTGATTCAGTAAATGTAATACTATTACCAAATGAACTATCAATATGAGCTTGAACTAAAATAAAAATATGAAATCATCTATTTATGTTAGAAAATCAAATTTTTTTGATCAAGTTAAGTGTGCTCCAAATTTGGAGTTTACGGATATCTGAGTTTTCGCGAAAAACTGTAATCATCTATTTTTGATTGCCCTGATAGATACTCTGGACTGTACTGAGTCGACTGGTGATGCTCAAGAAGAAAAAGCACATAGTAGGATCTATATAAATATATACACAGATAGATAGTCTATGCACAGGACTGTCGCGATCAATATTCTTAGAATCTTTCTTTACAAAAAGTCTTCGTCAATGAAATATAGAATTAATCTATGATTTTTACTTGCAAAATGGGCAATATGTGTAATATTATATTGTCTACAAAGATGTAAAACAATATCTTTATTGCCAATATCTGCGACAATGAATGAATAATTGGGTGAATTTGGTTGTAAAATATTTTTTGTATTAGCAACTGGATCAAGTCGATCAATATTAATAATATGATCATTTGGATATGTTTCAAGCCAATAATTAATAAATGTACTTCCAATAAATCCACAACCACCAGTAACAAGTAAAATTTTAGATGCATTTGCATCAATAGTAATTGATTCTTCTTGTATAATTTGTTCAATACTTTTTAAAACATTTGGTAAGATAAATGATGCTTGATAAAGTTGTCGTGTTTCAGGTGAAATCATTTGTTTAGTCCATTTTTCAAATTTATCAGTAATATCTTCTGTTTCAATTATTTGTGAAATATTTGTTTGTGATTTTAATTCATTCGAATTATTTTTCTCAAAATCTTTTAATGATATTTTACCTTTATTACAAACATCTATATGACCATTTACTTTACCATCATGTATTAATGCTAATAAAATAGGTAATATATCAGAAAGAATTGTTATATAATGATATTCATCTGGATTTGATTCCCATAATGTTTGGAAATATTTTTCATTAATATTATCATTACTTATTGGTGTTAAAAGTCTTGCACTATAAAGAAATATATATTAGTATTGATAATAAGAAGAAAAATTAACATACTTAACAATATTTGGATGAATATTAAGTAATTGATCAGTGGCATTTTGAATAATATTTAAATTATTATCATTTGTTGTACATGTTAATACAAGAACAGGAATTGGAGAATAAGAATTAATTGTAGCTTGAGCAACATATAGAGGAATTAAAAGATGATCACTAATTGTATTAACAAGTATTGAAGAATTTGTATCATTAATTATCACAATAATCCGATCAGGTTTTTCATTAGTAATTTTATCTTTTATATCTTGAACTGATGATTTACCTTGATGATAATTATATATAACTGTTTGTCCAGCTACTTCTAATAAATCTCCACATTGCTTTGCAATAGGATTTAATTCTGACAATAAAAGTAACCAACGCATTTTTTTTATGTTGTTTGAAATAAAAGTTTGTTAAATAAAGAGAAAAAAATCTGTCTATACCCTTTAATAGAATCGACCGGAAAAGAAAGAGAATTTTAATATTTGCATTTTTTCTTATGAATGTATCAGTGTAGAAAATGAAGTGAAAAGAAAGAGAAAAAAAATTCTCAGTAATGTCAGAAGTCATCAAATAAGAAACACATTTTTATTACAAGAGGAAGAAAAAACTACCATGGCCGTCTGAAATTAAAACAAACACAAAATGTGTTATGACTTATACTTCAAATCGTAGTATAGATTTAGAAAGGAATTATTTGTCTTTAATAGCGAATGCAAAAGTTTTCGAAGAAAATCTTTATTAATTTTTCATCCGATTGATAGTATTCGGAACGAATGAAAGAAGATGAAAATTATATTCTTTCCAAATATGAATTTCATGTGAATTTCTTTCTTCTTAGCTTTTTCTAAAAGTTACATTAGAGTTCGATATCTTCCTTGGTATTAAGAACTATAGAAGGATGAAATATCACTTTGTTCAACAATTCAATCAGTTCTTTTGTATGCTGAAAGATTCTCTCATGACTTTCGTATCAAAAGCATAGCATATTCGTTCTTATTCATATTTTGTACAAGTGAAAAATGAATAAATATCTTCGCTAGAAATTTTCGGATGATTCATTATTTATTTTAAACTATGACCTTATCGCTTATTTCATTTCTATGAATAAACAAACTACTATGCACAGAAGAGATATTATACAGTCTAAAAATGGCTGCATACACTAATATTTATAAAAAAGGTTTCAATATATATTTATTTTTTAGAGGATTTCGCCGTTGACTGATTATTTTAGGTTTCCTCTGGAAAAATTACCTTCTAGAATGTCGTCGAATTATGCTCAATAAGAAAAAATATGAAAGATAAATTGATTAGAAGGAATTTCTTGATTCTTTGAATTTTCATATTTAATTTTCAGTATAATTTGTGAGAATGAAAAAGTTTTGACTAACGGGTGACGAGATTGAGTCGAGTTATTTTTGTTTCCTATCATATGAGATTACTGACTCAAGTGAAGTTATTTCGAGTAGTATGTACATATTATTAACAGAACTAATTAATCATTTATACATTGACAAAAAGAAATGTAGTAAATATCTATTTAGTTAGAATCACATTATGTTGTTTGATACAACATAAAGATCAGAGTTAAGAAGTTAATCGGACATGAACATCTTGGTATCGGAATATTCGATACTGATCTGTTTTTGTCAGATAATAATTGTTTTTCATGCTAAAAAATGTTCTTCTAATTAACAAAATATATTTCTTTTACTTGGACATTAATCAAATAGATTTTCTTTTCATAATAGTGGAAAAAACAAATGGTATCGTGTCAATCTTAAACAATACGAAATCTCTTGAGATTAAAAAAAACGATCTGTATGTTAACAAGTTGATCTTAATTTTTTGAAATTACATGAAAAAAAAATTTTCTCACCAGTTAATTATTTCATAAATACTTTAATTTTCCTAAGAGTTTCTTCTTCTATTTTGCTACAAGTGCATTTTCTTATTTTCTACCTTCAGAAAACGATAAAATACTGTTGAAAAATTTTTCTTTCTTTTTCTCTCGCTTTCTCTTTTATCGCAACATATATATATATATATAATAGATTCTTTTTTCATATCTATTCTATCATTTTGCAAATAATATGGGTACTAGTCAATCTCAATGTCGTCCACATGCTCATCAAAATTATAATACATATTTAGGACCAGCGTGGGGTCAAACACATAATGCTACTCCAACTGTTGGAAATGGACAAATTCATCATCATCATCATGCAAGAGCGGGATTTGGCTTTGGTGCACCACGACCACATCTACGTAGACGTTGTTAATCATATGTATATTATTAAAGTATTGCAACATTTTTATTTTAAAAGTTTATTGTCAACATATGTATTTAATTAAAAAAATAATTAAAATTTGACGAAAAAAATATGAAGTCTTTATCTGGCGTATCTAGGGTTCACAAAAAAGCATGTTTACTTATTATCATCAAACGCAATTATTGTTAGATGATAGAGTGATTAAAACAATTTTTATAAAAATAGAAGCAGCATTATTTACGAGTAGATTACAGATGCTAATGAGTAAAAAAGAATTTCTATTAACAAGAGATAAGATTACGCGTGAAAGTGTTATTATTTTACTTTACGTCTACCATATATAATACTACAGATCAGTTGCAGAGTTATATATATATATATCTCGTTATGGAAATTTGAGAAAGTCGTATACACCTCGAATATTCTTCAAGTTTTTCAGTAGAACATACTCTTATAACATTTTAATTCTTCAGTAGAAGTGTAAGGTAGATAATACCTGATTTTCTTTTAGAAGATATTGTATATCAATATGAATAGCCATAAAGGCAGAAGTAACTGATGTAGAGTATCTATTTTCATAAATTTAGTTATAAATAGAAAATTATTTTGAAAGAGAAAGTCATCATCTATCTGAATAGACCACCTTGGAAAGAAAACTATTATACAAATTTATCACTTTGATTATTAGTAAATGTAAAATTTCGCATTTGCTTTATTTTTTATGTATTTGCTTATAAGTGCATGAACAAAACTTCTTATTTATGAAAACAAAACAGCTGTCTACTCTTTTTTACTTTTATAGTGCAAAACTAAGTTTCGCTCATATCACGAACACTTTGAACAATTATTTTTTTCTCATCATACTAAAAAGTCATTGTTTTATTACCGGAAATAGGTAATTTTTTTCATAAAGTACTATGACATACAACAGTGCAAATTTTTGATTAATGTCTAAGGTTAAGAAAGGTTAATGTCTCTAATCTAATAATTCATTTGATCAGTTATATTTTCAAGAGATTAGTTTGACGTATTTATTGTATAGTCATTATTTGATTAAAGTAAAAATATTGTTTACGGTCTGTCAGACATTCTATAAAGATGTCATACTCATGATAATTACAAGTTTATGTACTCATATGACAAAAGATTATGAGATAAAAACACCTTCGAGAGAAATTCAACACTATGATTTAGTCGATTGTTATTGAGAAAAATGCTGTTGACGAAGATAAATATATAACGTACTTTTTTTTCACGGAAAAAGTATAGGCTATTTAAAGCACTTCATATAATACAAGAAAAAAGAAACCTACGCTATTAATTATGAGTTCGAAGGTGACAGTTGGTGTATGACAAAGTCTTCCTATGTTATATTAATTACCAAAAAACTCAACTTCCAGTCTGTGTTTGTCATATACAAAATTTACATTTACAAATTAATATGGACTTCAAACTATATTTTCGTTGAATATTTTTTTTCATTTTTAATATATAGTCAATCTATAAAAAGTAAAAAAACATAACAATTGATCGAAATAAAACTATAACTTTTTTTATAGACAAAACAAACTATTCTTAGTTTCTTCAATAGAATAATAAATATCCTTTTTTTTTAGCCAAATTCTTTTTATAGACAATATAATGACGTCAATGTTATTTTTTTTATTTATGCATTGCATGATTGTAGTATCCTATTTAAAATTACATGAATATTAATCAATCATAATATCATCTTCATTCTTATTGTGAATCAACAGAGAATCGATCACAATAGATTATTCTTCATTAATGATATAGACATCATGAATATATATATAAGACTCGACTTGGGATTTGCTGCACTATGGGTACATCGTCGTAAATAATCATAAAAAAAGAATTTAGATATGATATTTATTGTAAATATGAATATTCATAGAAAATAGCATATTTTCTAATTTAACGATAATAGTAATGCGTAGTTAAACGACTGAAATTTTTAAGATATTAATTATATTATTGTTGTCACGTGTACTTCAGACGTTCTACTGTAGAACCTAAGTCTAAAACAGTCAGTATTTTAGAAATGGCATATTTTTTGTGTATTTTGTTCACATTTACTACACTTTTTATTTCATCAAATTATATTTATTAGATGTCAAAAGAAGAAAGATTAATTTGTTTAACATTAATAAAGATGCCTTTCCAGATTCTAGGCTAATTGGTGTTTTTATGTTTTTTAGTTTTCCATTTTATAATTAATCAAGAAAAGTGTTAACGTACTATAATTTTATTCAATGTGTTGAAATTAATAAATTTCAATCATTTTTTTCCAAAGTCAAAAACAGACAACAATATATAAATATGTTTTTAAATTAGTTGTCCTTTCCTTAAATTAATTTTGTTTCTATATTTATACACGTGTACTATTCGACTTTGACTGTTACTATATTTAAATACAGTAAAAAATTGATAAAGAATATATGTATAATTTATGACTTTCTTTAGTCACAACACTAAAATTTAAAATCAGAAAATAATTATATTTTCAAACAAAGATATATTCTGTTAATGACTGGAGTTGTGTTTTAGTTTATATTCTGTCACAATGAGATCAACTGCTCGTGCTGCCACTGCATAGGTTAACGATTGTGTATTGGCAGAAAACGAAGCTGGAGCTACCGATGCATCGACAATTCTCAAACCTTCAACTTCCCAAACTTTCATATTGTGTGGATTAACGACAGACAATTTATCTGTTCCCATTTTACATGTACCAATATAGTGAAATCCTGTAGTAGCATTTCCACGAATCCAATTAATAAGTTCATCACGAGTTTGATAATTAGGACCAGGCAAAACTTCTTGAAAATTCCATTTCTTAAAACTTGGCTGTGATAGTAACTGTCGACCGAGTAAGATAGAATTTATTACTCGAGTCATATCTGTGTCAACACTAAGATAAGCAGCATCAATCGCCGGTGGTATCAAAGGATTCGAATTCATTAGCATAACTGTACCACGTGACTTACATTGTTGAATATTAGGTGATAAAACTAATGAATTCTGCCATTCGATCGGCCATGAATTACTAATCATATTTCCTGTACTAAATAACATTTCAATATTTGTTAATGAACCTGTTCCATTTCTATAAGTTGCTTCGTGTGTTGTATCATTGTCTACTGCAAATAATACGGCACTTAGAAAGAAAGCAGGTGGACTTTCTATTTCGATAGTATCAGTTACAAAAACCAAATTTTTGAGTAACATTACCAATACCACTTAATTGAAGAAGTCTAGGTGAGTTAATTGTTCCTGCACTAAGAATGAGTTCTTTATTGACTGCGACTGAAAATTTACATTGATGTTTTTCACTATACAATTCAACAGAATCCATTACAGGATGCTCATCGTTACTGAAATTGAAACCAATAGTTTGAAGACCAGTAATCAATTGTAAATTCTTTGGTCTTGATGATTGAAGATATTTTTCGTATGAAGTAATTCGATTATAGTTGGAATTTGCTTGCTGTTTCGTTTCTCTCTCGACATCATTTATACTCATAACAAAGTTAGCAATACCAAGCATGTCTGGTCCATGATTATAAGATGGATTATATGGAAATCCTGTTGATCTTGAAGCTTCAAAAATAGCATCGACTAATCCTTGTGTATCATTTGCAGGATAGACAACTTTTAAAATATCTTCAACAGCATCAAAATATGATATTAGTGTTTTAGAATTCCAACCCGTAGCACCTTCATCTAATTCCCAAGCATCCATCCTAAGTACAAGAAAGTAAAATAGATAATTTGATCAGGATATTAATGGTCGATATACTTACCACTTTTGTCCACCTCTTACATATCCCATTGCATTATGCATTGCACTTCCTCCTGTACCTTTTGCAAATCCTAAGTCAATAGTTCTGTTGTTCAATGCTGTTTGAGCGATAGTTTGAAAATGCTATTCTAAAGTATCATTATGCAATACATTGAGCCATAGAGCTGGATTAGTAATATTGTCATTATCATTATTTCCTGTCTCTACACCTGCTTCAACAAGCAATATTTTCATATCGAGAGCATTAGCGAGTTTCGTACTAACAATACAACCGGCAGCACCTGCACCAACTACAATTATATCATAGTTGTCTTGTAAACGTATGTGAGGAGATGATCGGAGTGTAGGAGAACAGACGGGAATATCGTTTCGTGAAGTGTATGCAGATTTAAGCTCGGAACCATGTATACATAGATACATAGAAAGAAATATTGAGCAAAAAATCGACAAATATTGGAACATGACTTGTGTGTCGTATTAAAAGTATTAATTTTAAATAATGAGTTGACGATTTGTTTTGGATTTAGGTTTCGTAATCCGATAGATAGAGTAATGATGTTGATTATTGATTGAATTTTTAATTTACGCTGAAAACAATCTTATTCTATATATAGTAAATGAATAACTATATCGCATATGCAAATGGATTCTTGCGTTACGAACCACAGTGTTATTTATTTGTTAACACTTAGATAAGAAAATGACACGATTCTCTTTTCACCCCTAATATTCTGTGGATGTTTTTGCAGATAAGATGAATCATTATTTTTCGAAAGATAACAAAAGATCATAGATTACGAAGAGTGGCAATATAGAGACAGAAAATTAGGCCACTATCACATCATCAGATATGGATACCATGAGTGTAAATCAATATTCCTTTTACATCTATTCATATCCAAGTTTTCAAAATGCGAAAAAAAGTAAAATATTGATAATAACAAAAATATGATAATTAAAATTATTCAGATCTATTTCCAATAAAGAAGAAAAAAATAAATATACCATCATCTATCTTTATTTAATTTAACTGTTTTTTTTTTGATAAAATAACAATAAAATCTTCATCACTCATCCGTTTTCTCATCATGTAACTCATTGAATGTTTCATCACCTTCAGCAACATCCATTAAACTTATTAATTCCAATTGTCCTTGTCCGCGTGTTTCACTACTTATTAAATCATCTAATTCTCGAAATACTCCTGGATCAATTGCACATGTTAATTGCATGGATGCACCAAGAAATTCTTCATTATCAATATGTGGTGCTGATGATAATTTATTCATTTTTTCTTTAAATTTCTTTGCATCTTTCGCTACAAAAAATCAAAAAAATCTTATAGAACTAAAAAATAAACGATAGAATTTTTCTATACCTGGAATTGTTAATTGTACACGCATTTGTGCTTGTTGAATCGGAATATTATTCGATTGTTTCAATTGACGAATAACTTCCAAAGCCTAAAAAAGCATTTCTCTTTCGATAACTTTAAAATGAGAAAATAATGAATATAACCTGTTGTTTAGCATTTCGATTAGGATTAATACTATAATGAATATCTTTCATTGCTTGTTCAATAATCGATATTGTATACGGTCGTTTCGTTTCTGGATTAATACATTTTCCACTAACAATAGATGCAATTTCTTTAAATGTAGTTTCTAAATGTTGAGTACGTTCTTTGTCTGATACTTGTAATTCACCTTTCTCTAAAATCTATAATTAAATAAATCTTTTTTTTTCTTGAATATATAAAATTCTAATATTTACTTCAAGACAAATTTTTGTTTGATCTTCCGTATTGAATGCACTCATTAGATCTTCTTTTTTAGCTGCTTGACCTTTTGATACATTAGAAAAGACAGTATGAGTTTGAAGAACTTCATCAATATCTTTTTCTCTAAAAAAGAGAAAATAAATAAATTAAAAAATATTCTAAAAATAGACAACATACTCCTTATTTCTCCATGAAACAACTTTATTTCGATAGCAAGCTATTTCGAAACGTTTACCACCTTTTTTCAAACGAACAGTAGCAATATTTGTTAAACGTATTTGATTTGTTGGTGTAAAAATTTTTGAAGCCATTTTATTTTATTTTATTTTATTGAAAGCTCTGTAAAAACTATGAAGATTTTTATATGTGTCAAAGATACATGATAACGTTAGGAACTTTCGAAATGTAGAATTGTTTTATTGGTACATTAATCAATCAACAAAAATCTGTATTCGGAAAAAATAAAAAACGTTTAAGTAGAGGATGAAAGATGTCGTAGTAGGATTTAATATGAGTCATTTGTGACGACACTACGGTTTTTTTTCTAATCGATATACTAAAAGTAAAATAGTTTATTTAACACGTTCAATATTGATTTCGCGAGTTTTAGGTTTCTCTTTTGGTAATGGTGCTTCGATTGAAAGAATACCATTTTCTGTATGCATTGATTTCAAATCATTGATAATAAGTTCTTCGGGTAAAGAATATGTTTGAGAAAATTCATGAAGAGAATAATTATTATTCGCCTAAAAAAACAAAAGAAAATTTGATATGTTTAATTGAGGAAAATAAAAGATATATACTTTTTTCTCTTTTTTAGCTGAAATAATTAAATTACCATTTTGTATTTTTATCTTAATATCATCCGGTTCAAAACCTTGTGTATTTAAAGAGATTTGAAATTTTCTTGAACCATCTGCTTCAGTAATAATTAAATCGTTATCTATCAGAAGAAAAAATAAATAAATGAATTAATAGGATTTTAAAAAAAAGTTACTATTTCTACTCGATGGAAAATCAATGATTGATCGATTCGGTTTTAAATTTTGAAGATAATTATTAAAGTGTTGTTGCATTCGTTCAAATTCTTTTTCCCAACGTTGAAATGCATTTGATGTAGAAGCAAAATATGCTTCTGGTAAATGTTCATGACAATGACGACGATGAAAAAAATAACGTACTGAACCATTTTTATTGCCTATTAAAGATAGACGGCAAAATGTTGTTGGTGCAAAAAGACGTTGAGAAAAACGAGCTAAAGCCATGATTTCAAGGAAAATATTTTATTAAATACACAACATAAAAGAAACAACTATATATAAAGGGATATACATTGCATCAGACTAGGGTGATGCAATGCATAGTATACTGAAAGTGCATTGAAGTAAAAGATGTTATACTTAACATCGAGGGTAATGTACGAAAGAACATATATATCGATCGGAACGATAATAAGCTAATGAAGAAAATTTGAAACGTATATTTATAATTAGAATGTGTACATTTAGTTTTATTTCATAGAAAGAAAAGATAAGTTTATACATAAAAATGATCAGTATTAAATTTATCTCCATCTATATTTGATTCTTCAACTGGTTTAACATGTTTTACAGAAACATCACCATATTTTGCTTTTGGTAAACTTGTTGCTAATTGTTTTTGTTTTGATAATTCAATACTTTCTACATATTCTTCTGGTTTACGTTTTCGTGGTACCTTGTATGTTTCTTCTATCATTTCATAGCTTGGTTGTGGCGTAATAAAATAACTTGATCGTTGATCTCCACTGTAATCTGTACGTGTTGCTGGTTGACGAGTATTATTTAATGGCATCCTATTATTCGATTGATTTCGTTTTTGAGCAATTGATTGATCAATTTCATGTGGTAATACTTGTGCAAAACGATGATTCACTTGTGGTGGTTCCACTGGACGATATGACATACCTCCATATGCATTCATTACTGGCCAAACACCTCGTTTAGCATCTCTTAATCTTAAAGCAGCTATTGTTTGTTCAGTATTTGTTTGTTTATCTTGAACAGGAATCATATTTTCATATGTTGACGAAGGTGAACGACTATCCATCATTCCATATGGTATTTGTCCTTGATTATATGGTTGATCATAATAATGATCTGGCCGTCTAAAATTCATATCATGATTATAATTCGAAGGTTTCCTTGAACTATTTAATTGATCATCTTGTGGTGTTAATAAATTATTTTCATTATTATTAAGAATAATATGACCCTTTTTGTAACAATAAATGAATATAAATAAGGTTACTAATACAGTTAATAACAATACAGCAGATACTACCATACCTAAAATTTTCCACTGTGCTTGATCTTGTGCATCTGAATGTAATCAATGAAAAGAAATTCAATTTTTTTCAAAGAAGAAAAATTCTATTTATCTACCATTCGAATATAAAACAATTGAAGTAATAAGGCCACCAATTGCTACAGCAGCAAGTATTGCCATTGTTCCGAAAAGGATACCACCACTTAAACGTGTTAAACCAAAGCATAATTTTTTAGATAACCATGAAGGCTGCAAAAAATAAATATTTTAATTTAATTTTTACTTATACTTTAATTCTTACTGGTTTTTCGCTCTGTCCTATATCAGCATATGGATAATCATTTTCATCTGTAAAATTTATATATACATGATGAGATATAGAGATCGAAAAATATTTTTTTACCTATAGAATATTGTGAATGAAATAATTGATTTGGATTATTAGAATATCTTGTATCGATTTGTGGATACATTCGTGATGTTCGGTTTACTGATTTTCGAAAAAAAAACAATATGAATTCGTTAATTATAATTTAAATGACATACAATTATTTGCTTGTGGATGTTGGGGAGGAGATGGTCCAATTCGATTAGTTTTCAATGAAGAACTATTATAGGCAACTGAAGGTACTCGATTTTGTAATCCTCTTGGTACGAATTGCGATGGTTGTGCATGTCCATTTCTCATTGGAAATATATCTGATTGATAAGGTGGAATAGCTTTTGCTCTCGGAGAATTTTCATATATATTTGGCACTGATGGTCGACGAGCCATTTTTTAAAATAATCTCAATTTTTGTTAATTGAATAACAAACTTCTATATTTGGATGAAATATCAATGCATATTTCTCAATGTTTACAATATATATATTCTTTTTTAACCTAATTCATTCAAAAAAAAAATAAAAATTGATTGCTTTTTTTGTCATGACCAGAAACCAAATATATGAGTGAGAGAAAAGGCGTTACTGTGTGTTCTTTATTCGATGGATAAAAGAATTGATTATTTTTTTTTCTACATATTTCTTATAATATATTCAAAAATATGTCTATTCGATGTACTCCGATTGAATATGTATCAGATCATCTGAACATATTAATTCATTGAAATAAAATAAATGTAACTATGACTCTACATTTTATTTAATAGTAATCAAAAAAAAAGAGATGAAACAAGAAAAAAAAGATATGAAAATGTTCGATTATAAAAGTTTAATTTATTTTTTGCCAGTTTCGACAACGACAGGTGGATAATTGCAAACACTTATTTTAGGATCGTATATTGTACCTGGTGCACATTTACGAATCCAAAATACACCTGTTTGATCACATTGAATAAATCGTGATGCATCCGGATAATATGGAAAATAATATTTACCATAGATGCCGCAAGGATTTTGAACTGAAATTATAAAAAAAAAATGTATTCTCGGCCTCCAGTTTGTTGCCTTGGCAGACAATAGGAGAAAGAACGAAAAAAAAACGTTTTGTTGATAGACAGACATATAACAAGAAGAAAAAGCTGATATACATTAAACGATGTTTATTAGTATATCAGATATAAATCTATTTCAACTTGAAACTATTAATGATTTTGTTACACATTCTCTTGTAACAAGTGAACAATTAAAACAATTATTTGATGATAATCAAGGAAATAATCCACTTCCAGTTCAACTCGAACAATTTGTTCTCGATCATATACTTAAATTAAATGCGAATAAATTTAAACGTGAAACATATCGTGATGAATCACTTGTGGATTTATATACATCAATTTTAAGTGATCTACTTCGTTTAAAATATACTCCAAAACAAATTCTTTGTATTCTAACATTAATACATGGTCTTCTATGTCAAATTGAACGAACGGAAAAAAGTCATCCTATGAAATTAAATGAAGCATTTATACATTCATGTTCTATACTAATGGGTGAAAAAACGGCGAAAAAATCGGTTGTGTTTAATTCACATTTGTATCCTCAAGTAATTGATTATATTATTCAAATTATTTTTCAACATCGACATCTCTATGAAACATTACTCGATGAAAAACCTCAAGAAATTGAACAAATTGAAGAAAATAGAACAGTAAAGATGATTAGTTCTTGTTTTTATTTCTATTTTTTTTCTTCTAGATTGATTTTCATCTATTCGAACTACCTCTCTTTCCTTATCCACTTACAGAAGCTCTTCCTGAATCCGTTCATCGTGAAGTTATTCTCAAAATTCCAACAATTAATGAAACAACTGATAATGATCAAGCTTCAAATGTATCATTACCAGTTACAAAAGTTCCTGAGGAAGATTCAAGTCTTGACCTTATTGGTATGATTGACAATATTAATCGTCAATATCCAAATGTCTCACGTGAACAAATTCAACAAATATTTGCTGAAGTCTCACAAGAATATCTATCGAAACATAATGATAATATTCAACAAAAACTGAAAGAAAAAGAAACTTCACTCTTATTAAAATTTAATAATTTACAACTAACTAATAAAAATGAATAAATAAATAAATAAATAAAATAAAATAACTTACTTCCAGCACATCCACCTAGACTACATCCACATTGCCAGTTACCAGCATATTGAGAACAACTAGCACCATTTGGACAGAAACCTGTTGGACATCCAGTACCTAAACCAGTATATTGAGCACCAACACCAGCGAGTGGTGCAGTAGGTGCAAGAAGACCACCAGCTACAGCAGGCCATAAATAAGGAAAGTTATACCAATTAACATTTTGATATGGATATGGATAGTAATAACCTAAGAAAAATACAAAATTTAATTCTATTTTATATTTTTTCTTTTACTTTACCTCGAGGATCAACTTGTGTCGGTAGTTGTTGTTGTTGTTGTTCAGTTTGAGCTACAAGAGCTTCGCTCAATGTTCTAATCATTTCATTAGGTACTGCACTATCTGTAAAATTGATTGCTGGTAATGAATAGACACAATTGCTTAAAAGTGCTGCAATCACTAAGAACAGCATCACAAAAGCTTGCATTGTTATTGTTGTTGTTGTTGGTATAATGGGAAGTTACAAAATCAAACGATCATTTGAATCTTTCACGAATATTTATATATGATTAGCATCTTTTTCTTGTCAGACGTTCGTCGCCCTGGATGAAGGTCTTGTTGTTTTTTATCTTCTCTCTTTTTCATTGATTAGAAAAGTCACGACAATGTACTTTGTATTTGAATCTATATGTCTGAGGATTATCAAACTTCGATAGAGTAAAATGTTATGAAGTTTATATCGCGTATGTTTGTACGTTTAAAATCGGCCTATAATATGGATTAACAAAAAAACGGTAAATGAAATAATAAAGAATTACGATATATTGACGAAGTATAGATTAATACTTCTAACCTTTGATAATTGAAATGCGTAGATATAATTTTTTCGATATTGAGATGTCAACAACATTTTATTCTAAGACGGAAAAAAACGAAATAAAGCCTTTCATGGTCAATACGTGATTGCGACAAAAAGACAGTTTATATATAACAAATGTCATCGAAATACAATAGATTATCAAGGTTACCATCATGAATTATTTCAAACTTTTTTGTCCTACCAAATGATAAGAACACATTGGAGATACAATATTTAAAATTGACAGACGTGATAGTAATAATTTTACTATATTGTAAAATTAATCAAGGATTATTTTCAAATGATAGAGAATAGTGATCAATAATTACCTATCACGATTGCCATTTACTTAATCGAAATTTGTAAAACTGACAATTTACCAAAAAAATCAATTCAATTGATATTGATTTAGGTTCTAGCTATTTTTTGTTCAACAGTCAATTTAAGCGTTGTATCAGATTCTCGATAATATTATTATACACTACAGAGATGATACGATATGTATAGATTTATGTTATCGTAGGTATTATAACACCCTCAAGATGGTTTATAGATTTTGAAAAGAATAAGTATTGGAATAATAGTATATGATTATCTTCATTAGCCGTCTTAGAGAAATGTTCGAAATATTTTTATTCCATTTTCAATTATTTGAAACTTTCAAACGATAAACTTTAGTTGAGCATACAAAAAAAAATAGAACGTATTGATAATATTGCACAATAACTGCGTAATTTTGATCTTTTGCATAATTTTAAGTTGTTATCTTTTTCTAGGGATTAAAATATAACATTGTATTTACTTTCATAAAGAGCAAAACTACAGTAAGAAGACTAGACGAAAAAAATAGAATGAAATGTGTCATGTGATTTGAAAGTTTATTTCATAGAACTTATTCTTTTTCTATAGAATATCAAACTGAATTGTATCTGATAAAAATAAGGAGTGTTTACATATCATCATGATTAATCTTTTATTTTTAAAATAACGAATAAAACATTAAATATTCACTGTTAATCACCGACTTCTATAATAATTGCATTTTTATTCCATATTTTTCAATAACATATTCTGGCATACATAAAACAGGATTAACTTTTTTAATAATATTCTCATCAAATGCATTTAATAATGATAAACCAGTTACACCAAATAATGTATGAAATGGATCAGGTACATTTCCTGGACGATCAGCACATCCACCTGTTTCATCATCTTGTGAAGCTAAAATAAATTTAATTAATTTGTCACTATTAATCCATTCAATTTTGCCAAGTATTTTTAATGATGCTAAAACCCACCATGAATAACAAACATCTGGTAATTTTTCTGGTCGTCCATTAAGTCCACCTGATTTTTCTAGCTGTCGTTCACATAACCACCATGCTAACATATTTCTTGTTGATAAATCAAGTTTATCAAGACGTTGAACAAGTGATAAAAATCCTAGACAACAATAAATTTGTCCAGCATGTGATTCAGCACCAGGTATACAACCAAAACCACCATCAAAATTTAAACAACTCATTACAAAATCTGTTGCACGATCAATATCAATAGTATCTAATGAATCAATTAATTTTAAACATGCTATCGCACAAAATGAAAATCGTGTATCAATTTCACCCCATTTATCACCTATAAAACTTCCATCATCTTGTTGTAATTGTTTTATATATGAAGTTAAACTTTGTTTATCAATTAAATCAATTCGATTTAATTGAACTAATATTTGTACAGCTGATAATGTATACAATAAATGTGTATCATGATTTGGACATGGTGAATAACCACCCGAAGTTTTATCATGACATTTTTGTACATAATCAATAATATAATTTTGATCGATTTTATTTAATGAATTAAGTAAATCAAGACATGTACAAAGCCAATAGACGCCACTCATACGAAGATAATCTGTTATACCATATTCATATTTACTATGTGAATGACCATAACCAGTTAAAAATGCACAATGTTTTTCAATAAGTAATTCTTTTTGTGCTTTAGAATAATCAATAGTTACATCTCGTTGTGGTGTAGCCATCTGAAACAAAAAAGTATATGTATAAAAAAAACTCAGTTTCAAATATTTTTTTCTTTTAATGAAATTAAACACCAACGACGTGGTGACTTTATCGGATCAAAAAGTGCCACTAAATAAGATGATGCTGTTGGTATCTTTAAAAAAGAGAAAAGAAAAATATTTTGTTAATATTATGAAATGAAAACAAACAGATTCTTGAAGAAAAACAAGTCGATCAAGTAAAATCATCATTTCAATTAATCCAGAAAATAAAACTTTTAATTGAATAAATGTATGAAGTTGAAGATGACAAGATTCATAACGTGTCCAATAATCATTAATTATATCCGATGTTATCTAATTAATAAAATCAGAACAATATGTTTTCATTAACTAAAAATCTAACGATTTATTCAAATACGATCGCATTCTTATGCAGAAATAAATCAAGATGGTTTGTACGGTGTTTTATCCATCGGATGGGCGGCGCCCATCCGAAAATATACAGTACCTGTATACTTTGAGATGGCCCAGGTGGGTGCTGAATAAACGCCCCCCACCCTAAATTTCGATTCGCCCATCCGAAAAATGAAACCTAGATAAAACACTGAAATTTTGTGTTCATTTTCCTTATGTAAATTAATATCCATTTAATGCTGAAAATTTACTATTAAGACGAAAGAGTTTTTGTACAAAAGTTTTTCGCATCTATTGATTTATTACATGAAATCTTACTTTTGTTTTATCTAATTTTAATTTGTTCAATGCTTTCCAAACATATTCTTCAAAAGTTAAAGGTTTTCGATTTATTTTTCCTAATTTAATATCTTCCAAAGCACTTGTTAATTGATAAACTTCAACAAGAATTACTTGCATTAATGCACGATACCATAAACCAGCATTTAATGTCTATTATAAATAACGGAAAAATAATTCTCAAAAATCGAAACTGAAAAAAATTCATTTTTCTATATTGAAATTAAATTTACTAGATTTTACAAGTAATGGCTCCATCACTTCGGATAGAGTACGGCGGTTCCAAAAGAAATCGAACCGAAACATACCTTCTGAAAATGAAACCACTCATTTCCACTGACCGGAACCGCCGTACTCTAACTTCGGAGCTCGAAATTCATGTAACTCTTTATTTATCATAGTCTTTCAATGAAATTTACTTGATCGGCTTTATTTCTTTCAAATGATTGTACAGCAAGCATTCTTGCATTTCGACCTAATTTTGTTTTTTCTTGTATCAATCGATAACTTAACGGAAAACTGCATGGATCATTTTCACTAGAAAGTTCTAAAAAACAATTTGAAAGCTGCTTTTTTTCTTGTATGATTTTTAATTATACTTGTAAATGGATTTGGAACAAATTTTTCTTCTAAAAGATGATAACAACATGCAACATTCGCAATAGCGCGCACAGCAGAATTTTCAACAAAATGATATATAAGTGAACAAGATAATGAACCACATGCATGAAGGCCACAAAGAAGAAATGATGATGAATAGGAATCAAATGTTTGATAAAATAAGTTTTCAAAATTTGTTTCACTATTAACAATTGTTGATGTTGTTTTATATTTTTTATTATTATTTAATTCTTTTTGATATTTTGATATAAGTTCTAATCGTCGTTCACCACTATGTGCTGTTGCTTCACATGATTCAATACCAAGAACATTTCGATCATAATCATGAGATATTTGTACACCTAAATAACCACGGCCACTTCCATAATCAATTATCTAAATAAATTCAAATTATAACAGAAATACAGAAAAAACTATTTTACCGAATCAGCATTCGACATATTAGCTAATTGATTAATAACAGGTGCTAATATATCGACTTCATGTTCTTTTTTTTGACTCATAAATGTTCGAGTTATAAATTTATATGATTTTGTTTGATCTTTCTCTCGTAAAATTTCTTCTTCAAATTTTTCACGTGTATATGTTACTCGTTCAATTTTTTTTCTCCATTCAATTATTTCATCAATTAATCCTTCTAAACGATTTTTAGCTGATAGAGATTCTTGATAGCGTTGTTCAAATAGATCATAAAGATTTATTCGTTCTTCCTGACGAATCCATTCCGGTACATAAGTACTCCAATGATCACGAATTAAATAATCAACATTATGAGAATTTAATAATGGTAAATATGGCTGAAGAAAATTACGAATACCGATGAGAATTTCTTCCGTCATTTATAGTTTTTTTATCTAGAATAATAAACCTGAGATAAAATCATTTGTAGCCATGTTATTTTTCTCGGTATTTTCATTAATCATGAATCGATTAGCTATATACAATCTTTTTGATACAAAATGATCAATCAATCCTTAAGCCTTTTAAATAATCATATAGTCCTTTTCTTTCTCATTTTATTCATTTTAGTTCTAAATATTTCAAAGACAATGTATACATCCTATTGCGTATATTTAATCAAAGATCTAAACTGGCACGAATAAATAAAAATATAAAAAAAAGAGAGATAGTAATACGATGCTGGATTATATAATAACTCGAGAATTTTTTTTCTATATTTGTTGATATTTTAACGACGAGCGAACCAGTAGAAGATTGTTGCTCCACCAGCAGCTAATGCTAATTTACCAAGTTGAATACCGCCCCATGAAGCTAATAATGTTTTAGCTTTTTCTGATTTAGCATCAAGTGTTAAAAATTTAAGTTGTTCAGCAACTGGATATTCAACGAGAGCACAGTATGGAATACCAGCTAGAAAAAAAACAAAGAAATATTTATTTATTTTTCAATATCAAATAGATTCTTACCAAGCATTAAACCTGAACCAATAAGCCAATAGTTATCTTTTGTTTGTTGGTATGCTAATGCACCTGATGCACCGCTAACAAGTAACATTAAATTTGTTAAATATTTTGATCGTTTATGTGCTTCAAGTAATTCTGGGATGGCATGTTCACCAGAAATATGCATACGAGCATCGTGATTAACAAAGATTTCTCCTAAACCACCACCAACACTCATAATGGATGACCATAATGCAAACTAAAAAAAAACAAACAATAGGATTAAATTATAAGAGAAGTTTAATAAAATAGAAAGTTTTATTTACGTGAACACCTTGCTCGGCAATTGTATCGAGAATACTATGTTGAACAGCGGACATATTTGCACTTAATAATCGTGATTATTTTTATCTGGATAAAAACAAGATGACGATCAGATGAATATCAAATGTTACAATAAGGAGGAATATTGATGACTCATTATGAAAATATATTATAATAAAAACTAATTTATTAATAAGAAAATAAATTCTAGAGATTGAAATAAAATAATTACTGATGAAAAATATTTATTATACACTTAAATTTTATTGGACGATGACCGTTGCTAAGCAACAATATTCAATAGAATTGATTTATGGTTGAGTTTCTCTAATGATAACTCACGTAATCTTCTTGAAACGACAATGAATCAAAATAAAAAGCTTATAGAAGTATTTCTCGAAGAGAATACAATCAATCAGGAATATTTTCACTGTTTCTATAACAACAAATATAATAAAAACTTGAAAAAATGAATATATTTGTGGATTTCATTAAAGATTATTTTTTTCATAATTTCTAAGGTTTCCAGGCACCATGACCCAGTTTGTTCCAGATTTCTAAAACAAGCAATACTCAGTGCACCTATTTATTTGATCATCCAGATAAGATTAAAATTCATAATTAGATGTTCAAAAAAGATATCTATTCGAGATAAATTTCTTTCATGTAAAAATGTAATTAACTTAAAAAAGTTATTTTTATGATGTAGAATACAGAATTTTCTAATTGATGTCTGACAGAAAAATCGAGGATGTATGTGATAATCTCTTGAGACTGTTTCCTACCATTCTTCAATCATTTATAATTTTTAATCTGTGTTTGAAAAACAAGAAGATTAGTCACAGAATGCTAAACTCATCCAGAGGTGGGACAAAGGACTCAAAGATTGTATGAGAACATAGAGTTTATACAAGAATATATTGTACGAAATCTTAGTATTATTACTGGGTAATAGAGACCCTTCTAATTGATTATGAAGTATCGTGTACTGAAAATAACCTTTTATTACATTAAAAGAAATAAATTAACAGAAAAAAAACAACAAAATTAGATCGTAAAAACACAAACTGTCATCAAGATCGACGGCGTTTTTGACGGTGATATTGTGGACTAATATCAGGTTTTGATACGCGTGGACTCGGCATTAGTGAAGATCGACGACGACATATACATGGTCGTTTTGCAGGTGGTTGGTCACCATAACCATGATAACAAGGTTCTGGACGAGAATAATTTAACCCCATATTTTTCACAAAGAAATTCTTATATATATTATTTCAATCAATATATACCTTCGAATGTCTTTTTCTATTTAGTCGTGCGACAGAAATGACAGGTTTTATTATCGTTAACACATATATATTAATAACAGATTATTAATCATGACGTTTCTCTATTTTTTCATAGAAAAGAGAGAAAGCTCTGGAAAGAACAGGAAATTGAAATATACAGGGAAATAATTATTTTTCATTATCTCGACAAAAAAAACACATTATATAATATACATGTGGGATTTAAGTGAATGTGTTCGACAAAGTCCGTTGTTTGAGTACACTATAATATAAAAACCGCAGTCAATTAACATATTTTTTATTACATGAATGTAAAGTATACTCTATCAATTTTTGTTTTTTTCTAATAAAAATATTATTCGGGTTATCTAGTATAGTTTTCATGGTTTGAGAGCTGCTATATATTGAATGAACTTGATTTTATATTAATAAATTATTTATATAATCTCAAGTGCAACAGGTGATACATGTATTACATTAGAAATTCAAATAAAATCTATACGTTAAGTACTACTCATAGATTATATATGATTTACTACATGACTTCTTTTGATCCAAAAAATAAATTGTTAATATATAATTTAACATTATTAATAAAAAAGTCTGATAAGCATGTTAAAAATCAAATGAAGTGTTCAACAAGACTAGTTTATCATTATGACATACGCCGCATTTTTCATTGTTATTATATACATGAATCGAATAACTTTTTTTGTTCTATAATAAAGAGTTTTTTCTTTGATTGATGATCAGTGACATCTTGTCACCTTGACATTGAAAATATGATACGCAACTATACGAACAAATGAATTTTAATATATGTAAGTTTTTTAATAAGTGTTATTTCTCAAGATTTCTATTCATTTACAGTTACAGATTGACAAGGAAATGATGTGTTATTAGACAAATATCATGACAAAAAGTAAACATGTTTCTATGGTTAAATAAAAACAAATATAATTTATTATTTCTTACAGTAGTTCATTCTAAATATGTCGTATAAATTGATGAAAAACAAATCCCTACAAAATAGAATCAGAAACAAAGATAAAAATGACCGTAATGGCATATACCGCATCTTCTGGAATAATCTAAAATGTGTTGATGTGTTATTCACATCATTTCTTTTATATCTATTTTGATGAAAACATATAAAATCCGGGAAATTAATGAAATCTTGAGAATGAGTACAGATACAAAAATCAGAAGACTCAGTAATACTTCGAGTTGAACAAAAAAAAATTCCAACACTAATCGAAACGACCTAGACCGAAGCCACATTATTATCTAAAAATATATGTATTATAATTAATGTTAAAAAAAAATATAAAGATACCTAGATGATTCAAGTCTATATATTATCCACTACTGAAATTTACTGATCAGATTCTTCTATTAGGCTTAAGTATTGAAGGTTCCCGAAAGAGATTATCTTTTATTTGCTATTAATAAACCAAGGATAATCCTGATTACGAACCTAAAAAAAACTAAATCTCCATTTTTTTTATTTAATAAATTCGTATTGCTTTTTTCTCAGTTTATCTTAAAAATTAATTAATGTGATAATCAAGAATCTGAATGAGATTTTGTGATCTATTTCTTTTTTTTTGTAGGATAAAATGAATGACTATATTCAAGCATTTAATAATGGTTTAAATTATTTACCAGATAATTGTGATTTAACTGGTCTTTATTGTCGTTTAACAAAAGGTATAACTGATGATGATTTTTCTCGTTTATCACAAGATCCAACTAAACGTCTTGCATGGGTATATGATCATGAAACACTTCGTAGTCTACTTGGTATGTCTCATCTTGAGATGTTAATTCATTCAGGACATACAATAGAATGGATTCGTCATCAATTAGAAGGAAATAAAAAATTTAAATTAATTATTTTTTCTGTTCCATCCGATGAAGTTAAATTAGCTACATGGGATAATTTATTTGAAATTTTATCAATAGGTTATCCGGAAATTGATTCAAATACTTGGTATCGTTATTCAAATCAATTAAAACAAATGACATTTAAAGAAATTGATCCAGAAGGAATCATTGTTAGAAATTATTATTTAGGACCAACGTCTGATGGACATATGCATACAGATCGATTTTTAAGTTTAAAAGAGCAACCAACATTATTACAAGTTAGAGCTTTTTTACATCATCAGATTGGTTTGAATGAATTATATGGAGGCGATGGAAAAACTATAACACATCTTGGAGATGTAGTAGATAAAGAATATATAACTGTAAATCGACCTTTAAATGAATTGAAACAATGTGCTATATTAGATCTAAACCCTATTCTTCCATAATTAATATACCAGTTACTTGTTAAATTATTTGATAATTTAAATCAATCATTTATTCATGACAATAAAATAAAAGTCTTCAGTCGAAGATATTTATCAATATTTCATTTCATAGTTAATACTATTAACAAAGTATTAAGGTATGAATGTTGATATATGATAATTCGAATCGATTTCGATCAATGTTCTTCGTTTTGATGATATAGACCATGCTAAACACTTGGATATGAGAAAAGAACAACTTTCAATATAATGAATGAAATTTTTCTAAGATTTTATTACTAATATTTCTTCATAAATCTTGTCTAGAGATTTACATGAAGAAACTGAAAAACGATGATAAAATAGAAAATTTTACATATTTCAATAAAAGCGAATAAACGAATCTTACATGATTTTTTAACTTAAATTGAAATATTCTATGGAAAAGAATCTGTTGATGATAAAAAAAGAAGTGTTCGAGAATTCTACTGTTGCCCTTGCTGCTGTTGATGTATTGAAAATTAGACATGTTTATAACACAAGTGATATGAGGAATTACAGTAGTTGATAGTAGAGTGCTAATCGGAAAAAAATAATATTTATACTTCTTATATCCATACGTAACTGTAGAATAAACATTTTGTACAAATAATCGTTTAGAATAGTTTGAAGACTATTTAGAAAGAATTTGTATTGTAACGATGTAGTAACATATCAATCACCGACAAAATATATTCGTGAGTAACAAAACAGGACAGATAGTTACTATTTAAGTGATACTCAAATTAATAAAATCAATGAAAAACAATAGAATTTTATATGTAAATCATGACACATTCATTCAAGTATCAATTATTAAACTAGAGGCAAATATGACAGTTTATACAGTCTATCGATGCTATATGATATTTCTTATGACATAGTTCAATAAGAGTGATTCAAACTTTATTCGTCATATGGATATATTTTCCATAGCATCTAGCCATGCTAAGTAACCCACAAAAGATTAAAATATATAATTACAGGATAAAAAAGGAATATCCATTTCTCAAGAAACAACATCAAATTATTTTTTTCATTTTATAAAAAACTTTATGCACTGTTTTTTTCCTATTCAGATAAGATTCATGCTAGCTTTGCATTTTGATACTGTTCTTATATTACTTATTCATATAGGTCAATGTGATAAATATATGTTTTGATATCAGTTCTTAACCGTAAAATAAAATATTGGTTTACAAGTTAATTTAAATTACTGTGGATTTTTTGTTTGATAGATAGATTTAACAGAGATTCGAATTATTGTATATCTCATTAAAGTTGTAAATTAAATAGCGGCGGCGGCAGGAATTTAGACCAGGGTGGACTCGAGCCCAATGAATATAGACTAGGGTGGGCTCGGGCCTAATAGATTTAGGCTAGGATGGACTCGGCATTATATATATAAGATCTAAAAAAAAACTTCAGAGTGGGCTGAGCCCACCCCAGGCCGCCCTTGGCGTCGCAAATATAATTAAGTTTTAGATAACTATCGATGAATGTTTTTTTCTTCTTATTTGAAGAATATTAAAACGCAATAGAAAATATTTAAATTCCTTTTTCGTCTTGAAAACTAGTTTATTTGATTTTTAATACCGTTATAACGTTGTTCTATTAGGTTACATTAACAAAGAAGGCACATAAACCAAAATAAAGATCTATGATCATTTATTATTAAAATCTAATTAAAAGTATCAAAAACAAAATATGAAATGACGACGGTTTTATCTTTGTGGTATACATTGTTTTCGTGCTTTTGCTTGTTTTTTTTAAGTTGTATTACAAATAAACAATATATTAATCAATTGAAAAACAAAAGTACCAATAAAGTGTGTCATACTACTAAATAAAGCTTAACCTATGAAATGAAATTAAATGACGATATTGCATAAACAATGTATGAATGTATTTAAGTATCTAAAAATAAGACGTAGGAGAGAAAGTGCTTTCTCTCTTTTTTTCTTCTCTACTAGTATGACGTCCGATTTAAAACGCGTTTAGAATATCTTCTTTTTTAGTAATAGGAAACAAACATATGTTCTGCATTTATATATTTACAAGAGAATGAATTCATTTTTTGTTTTGCATATCTATTAAGAAAGTTGCTTTGAAAAAAGGAAGTATATAATAAACCAACTAAAAGCAAGAAAAAAAATTCATTCCTTATTTTATCTATCAGGTAATCACACACACACAGCTGTTGTTGTTGTTGTTAATATAAGTGTATAAGTAACATAGATCATAGCAAATTAAGGATTTTCTTTTCGACTATTTCCTTTCAAACAATTTAGTTCCTTTATACAGTAATTTCCTATGCGGATGATTTTCAATCTACCGATTTTTTGTTCTAATGATCATGCACATAAATTGTGGATAAGAAAAACAGGTAGATTGACGTCAAAAGAACGGTGATCGAAAAATAATTATTCTCTTGGGGTTTTCTCTTAACGAACATTAGTTAAACTAAGAATATGCACGATCTCGCTATCATTGAGAGAGAACGGGGTGACTTGTTGAGGCGGAGGAGATAAATTATTGAATAGAAGCAAAAAAAATAAAACAAGAAAGAGAGAATTATGACAGGGAAGATCACAAACAGGAATATATTTAGTTGATTTTCAATGGTTTGTATTTATAATCAGATATATACATAAACGATGTGCAAGTTTTATTATAATAAGTTAATCAAATAAGCAAATGATTGTTCTTTTTCTATTTGAAGATTATATCCGTGATTAATATCATGATGCATTCCTTTCCAATACCATTACTATTTATTAGCCTATCTACAATTATATTTCAAATCAACAGTTATCCATCGACCGTGAATACAAAGTAAATAAATTTTATTTCCTTTTTTTTCTTTTATTTCTAATTATAGTCTCGATAGTTTACCTCCTAGTCAAATTAATCGTCTCTGCTCATATATATCCAGTATTGAAACAACAAAGAATCAATTACCGTAAAGTTTTTTTTTTTGAATAAAAAACAAATATTTATTTGAAATTATAGGGAGAAACGTTTTGCTGTGCCCTTTCCGGATATGCATAGGTTTTTATCAACAAGTCATAGACTTCATCATCATGACGGTAGTATCAGAGGTGGATCAGAAATAGGAACTAAGAAGGATTTTCATGCTTATTTATGCAGGTAATTTAATATTAAAAGAAAAAAACTATATTTTTTCTATTTATTTTCAATAGTATTTCTAAAGATTCGGACGAAATGTCAAATTTTATTAATATATTTATTGAAGAACATGGGCAACAACCAGCTTTTGATTTATTTGAATCATGCGAACAAGTAGTTAAACGGTTTGTTATTCGAGTAGATATATTCTATTTCTAATTGAAAGTTTGATCATATTTTTTTCTAGCGATGACATTGAAATAGAATCAGCAAGTCGACTGAGAGAACTTTCGTATGAATTATTATTGAATATAATTCTAAAGAAATTATTTTCTATTTTTAGACAAATTTGTTCATCACGTTTTAATAAACGATGGAGTGGTTCAGTTAGAGGACCTATAGCAATTGATTATATAAATCAAATGCTTGAAGCACGCAAAGTTAAAACGTATCCATATTCAGCTGAAATGGATCCATATTTAGTGTAATTTTTTTTCTTAGAAAAAATTAATCAAATCAATTTGTTTGTATATTTTTAGAGGAAGATAAATCTTATGTTTAGAGTTGAGAAGAAAGACCGCAGCATTTGGGATATGACAATTTTGCGGTCAGATAATTAATAAATAACATGAGAATGGCATCGATAATAATCAACGCTCTCTCTCTCATTATCTTTGTTTTTTAAATTTTAATCTTGAATATTGCTGTTGTTCTATTCTCTCTTGTTTATTATTTTTTTTGAGTGAATAAAATAAAGGATTTCATCATGAATGAGTAGAGAATTTTTTTTATTTCTATATTAATTCATAATTTTTGATTTTATTCCAATCTTAACAACAATAATAATAATAATGCTTTCAGTTAAATGAGTACATTCTACTCTATTGTCAAAGGACAAATCAAATCAATATGTAACAATCAAAAATAATGTATCACGAAAAAACAAAAATCTATAATAATATTTTATAAGACAAGCGACTTTGTCAAGAATTTTTAATGAGAAATAATAAACTGATTTGACCTCATAGGAGTATACGTCACTATAAATATATATGTAACCAGCTGAGTTATAATTTTTCTTTTTTTCTTTTACTGCCTTCAAATTTCCTGTTTTTTTTTCTGTGGCAAAAGTTACATTTCTCCGTTCTCTATTAATGTTTTTCCTTCTAAGTATATATAAGAAAATAACAACAAATATTACCACGGTGATATCAAAAGTAAATTATCTTGAAATATAGCTAATACAAATGATGAAAATATCCTTTATTATGCTTGAGCTTGTTGCTATTTAATGCTACGGTTTAAATATTATTTCTGTTGATCGTAAAATGCTTAGTGCTATTGACCTAGATAAATCTGAAACTATTCGCGGTAATTATGCTATTGTTACAGAACAATAAGATTTTTTAATAATATTATTCATGGTAGTGACCCAGAAATATTTGCTCAACATGAAATTTCTCAATATTCACATACTGCTGAACAATGGATTTTATGAATAGATTATAGAATTTTTCTAATTGATTGTTGTAGTAGTTTTTTTTATTATAAAATAAAATTTTATTTTATCATATTTAACGACGATATTGTAACCAATTTTCTAATTTATCTAAATGAACTAAAACTAATTCAGCGAATAATGAATTTACCCAAGCAAACCTAAAATTTTCAAAATAAAATAAAAACAACAATTTTTTTCAATTGAATTTTACCATGCACGACTAAATTCTTTTGGATTATTAACATTAAAACTTTCATGCATAGCAAATGTTTCGGCATGACTTGCTTCTAATCTTTTCCATACACTATCAAGATTTTTTTCTGAATGATTTGTTAAACCTTCCATTATAATAGACATTGGCCAAACATAATGTGATTGTGTATGATGACTACCTATTCCATTTGCATGTTGTCCTTCATAAAACAATGGATTATCTTTCGATAAAATAAATTTTCGTGTTGATGTAATCAATTCATCATGTGGATCATATGGTGTTTTAAAATTAAAATATGCTGCTGAAAGAAGTGATGGTACATTTGCATCATCAATAAGTAATGTTTGAGAAAATCCATCTGTTTCATATGCATAGATTTGACCATATTTTTCATGTTTAACTATTCCATATGTATTTATACCTGAAAGAATATCTGCACGTAATTGATCAATCTAAAAAAATATAAATTAAAAAAAAACATATTTTTCTATTTTCTTTATTAAATATTCATACTTGTTTGAGAAGTTCCGTTTGTTCCGGAAAGATTTTTTTAATCATTTCATTTATTTGTTTTAAGACTACACTTGCCATCATATTACTTGGAATAAGATAACCAAATTGTGTTTGATCATCACTTGGTCGAAATGCACTCCATGTCATTCCTGTATATGATACACGTGAACCTTGATAATTATTTCCTAATTCTGTATAACGATAAGGCGAAATTTCTGAATGATGTTGTTCAATAATCATAACTTGTATAATAATAGAAACCGCAATTAACCATTGATGATTAAATACATTATCACGTGTTGTTTGTTTCCACCATGTATAACTTAAACGTAAATAATAACATAAACTATCTAATTCATAATTATGCATAGCAACATGAATATTACGACCTTTTTGAATATGGTTTGATTCAAGTGAATCATCTGATGGAGGATTAGGACGAAGTGTTAAGCGAAATGAACTTGCATATGGATCAAAAAATATAAATTGTGTCTGACGACGAATAAGACCTTCAATTATATTTTGAATATCTTTATCATCTGATAATGTCATATATTGATGTACTTGAGCACTAAAAAATAAGAATTAACCATTCTAGGTTTTTTTCTTCTTCTTATATTCTCACCTGCTATCACGTAACCACATAAGATCAATATCACCGGTTATTATATAGGATGTATTATCATCGAGTAATGTTGTTGTAGTAGCTAGTGTATCTGCATAGCATTTTGTAAATAATTTACACCAAATTTCTCCACCAATTTTATTAGCTTCAGTCAATCGTTGACATACACGATTAATTTCATCTTTAACAGATTGTGGTACTATTGTATTTGTATGTATCGGTTTAGGAATATGTTGATTTGATATTGATGTTGGTTGATATGGTACAGATGGATAGTCTTTTGTAGGCAACCAAATCCATGGTTGATCATTTGGAGACATTACACTCTTTAATAATGATTTAAGATTTTCAAGTGCTTTTTTTGATCGTTCAATTGTACTTATTGGACTATAATTTGAATTTATTATCGTTAATGGTTTTATTTCATCGGTTGATGAACATTGAAAAATTCGATGAATAGAAAAAATATTTATTAACAGACTAATTAAAATCATAACACCAATAACTTCTAGACGAGTATGTCTCATCCATGTTCGAGTGGATTTAAATAAAATTGACATTAAACAATAATTAACCACAGTAATGTTGAACTACAGTAAATAATGAAAATATTTTTTCTAGTAAATTTTTTCAAACACATTTTCTTACAGGACAAGAAAAAAAAATTACAGGATAAAAAAAAAAGGAAAGAATCATTTATATAAGTGTTATATATATAAAGACACAATTTCCTCCTTTTTCTTTTTTTCATTAAAATGTTGAAAAGAAAACCACCAACGCTTTTCTTACTTCATCAAATTAACATGTTTGCCCTTCAAAAAAAATCAACTAATAAACTAGAAAATTTTCTTCTATTTATAAAAAAAATATTCTTATTTATATACTGAAATACTTATATATTTTTAGCAAATTCAAACGTGATGTAATTCCGGTATAGAAATAAATCAAAACCTTCTTCTTTTATATTCTATCGTTCTCTGATTTAAAAAAATATAATTTGCATTTTCATATGGCTTCTATTTTATAATACTTTAATAGGCATTCTGTTAATTTTTTCTTCTCTTTCTATGCTATAATTATATAAGAGTCTTGTGCGTATGAATAGACAGAACTATTTATATATATATACATTGTAACTTGATAAAAAAATTTTACTACATATAGTATATAAAGAACCTATATAGAGCACAATCTTTTTAAACATTCTCTCAAAGAACTTCGAGATACAAATATAGAATTTAGATATCTCGTTTTACTAAAAAATAGTCTCGACAAACTTGATCAGTAATTTCTGTATTTTTGAACGTTGTTTGCACTTCCACTAATTTATATGTCAACAGCAGAAAATAAAACATATTTTTCTGTTCTTTAACTACTTTGATATATTATTCTATATAGTCATGACTCACTTGAGTATTCAATATTTAAGAAGAATTAGATTGTTTTTTCAATAAAAAAAATCCTATATGTAATTTATCGACTATATTAGATGTTGTCAATAGTATCCTATTAAAAAAGTGACTTATTTCTTCGATTGAAATTCATCACACTCGTCAATTTGTTGTTTTTATGACATTTCTATCATTTAAAATCCTTGCTAAAAACAAGAATACTTACTGTATTTTATGATGTTGATAAATTGTTATTGAATACATAAAAAACAGTGTTCGAAAGAGAACTATCGCGATATCGAATGAAGTTGGTAATCACTGAAAAGAGCATAGATTTATTTCTTTTTTTCTTCAGATAAAATCATCCGATCGGTTATTTGATTTCATTCAACAGAAAAAGGTGTATGTACATTTATCGGTTCTACTCTGAGAGGAGAATTGCAAATTTGTCAAGAAATATTATTTTTTAACGCATTCCAAATACTAAATTATTTCCTTCTCAAGAGTTAAATGACGTGTATTAAAATTCAATTAAGCATGAAACTTCAATTTAATGATTTTTATATTTCTCCCGCGATAAAAGAACAACGTAGACTAAAAAATATATTGATTCTTGAATTTTAATTATCAATCTTTGGATTTAATTCATTATTTTAACGAGAAATTTTGCTATTGGCATTCTTATCCATGTAAACATGAAACCCGATTAGAAAATACTTTTAAAATGCGTGTCTGGAAAATATTTAATGCGTTTGAACGTGTCTCAAATACTTTTTTAAGTCGTATTGTGGAATGTGATCATATTTCTGAGTACGTTTGCACGTGTTCATTTCTCGCGTGTTAGACCTGATTTTACTCGAAATCGTTGATTTACATTTATTTAAACTTTATTCGACTTTTTAAATAAAAAATATTAAAATAACGGTAAAATAGACAAACGTTTAATTAAACATAAGGTATATATTCTATATTTCTCTGATATTTGTAGGAATTATAATGAGATACTATCACAATAGCTTTCAGGTATCGAATGGCCTTGTAGGAAAGTAATAAATATTACTATTTAAATTATATGATTAATAATCTTTATCATATTTCTACGAAGTAAATTGTATGAATAATAATTATTCATTATGTTATTATTGCAACTAAAAAGTTATCTTTATATTAATTACATCTAGTAAACGATAAAAAAGAGAACATTTTTCTTTGAAAAACCTCGAGTCGTAATAGATGTATTCAATATTTTTTTATGATCACGTTACTTTTGAGTCACTCTTTATATATACAGAGGCTGGTGCATAAATAACACTCTGATTATTGACTAAACTGTTTCTAAGTACGACAAATTTATGTAAAATATTTTGTAGGTACTCCTTTCAGTTATTATCTGAAAGAATGATAAGAAGAAATGAAAACAGATTTTATGTGTGATACTGTATTGAAACTTTGAGAGTATTGAATCAGCAAAAATTGTAACTGTTAACTTTAAAAAGCAATTTGGCATTTGTCTCTATGTACATGAATATAGTATCCTACATATTTTTGTCATTCTCTTCGATAACAATCGAAAAATATCTACACAAGATTTCATATAAATTTGTCTTATTTACTAACAGTTCAAATTTCTTTCATTAAGTTAACTTACATTATGCATATGAAAAGAAGAGGAACTTCGAGCAAAGTTCTATCGATAACTGAAAAAATCAGGCCATTCAATCAGACCGAAGGGTTGATATTAATATTTTCTATTGTACTGTTATTTATGGACCGCCTATATATATGCATATCATTTATCCCATCTTTTATTTAATATGTTTAAATATAACACATTAGATTTGATCGACTTTGAAAAAATTATAAGAGAATATTTGCCCAAAGTTTGACTGAGGTTTTCATGTACATCTGTGTTAATATATTCCTTAGTCACAATCATATTTTCGATATCAATATTTAAATCAACTCGACTTTTCTTGAGAATCAAAAGAAGCAAATTGACACTATTGCCAAAATCTCAACATATTAATTGTATTCCACGTTTTTATCATGTTTTGAAAAATTTATTTGTATTAAAATACAAAATGAACAAGATATTGTTGACATACAAGTCTAATATATTCAGCATTAACAAATTCTTTCAAGACATATATCACTGAATAAAAAATTCAAAACAATTAATCTATACGTTATTCAGTATAATGTTTATTATCATTTTTGAATATTATCTATTAATATTAAATGAAATAAATTCTCTTATCATTTATCGTCATTCTTTTACATCTGAGGAAGTTCTTAAAACATAAAATATATTTTTTATTACATGTAATATAACGATAATGCAAAAAAGAAAGAAAATTTATTTGTTGGAAAGAAAAATGACACAATAGTTTACCAAGAACAAAAAGAAGTTTATTATTTTAATAAAAAATAAATAGACTATCTTATGTTTATAATTATTATCATCATAAATTATCTCTTTTTTTTCTTCTTTCACTTTTAATATCATACCTACTTTGTATATCTCTTTTTTTCTTCTCTGAGAAAGAATGAAAATGATTCTGATGTCAAATAAAATAAAAAAACGACAGTTGATTCGTTTCTTTCTAGAACATACATTTCATGAGTACTTACGAATAAAAAAAAAGGACGAAGGCTATACATGAGGATGATGATGACGACGACGACAAAAAAAGACGAGAGATTGTCATCGTCACAGAGCAGGGCTGTTATACACTTGAGATAAGGTTCTCTTTTTTGCTTTGTAGGTATACATGTATGGTAAAGAATATATATATATATATATTATGGGAGAAAGAGAAGAGTGATAAACGAAATACAACGACGAGTTATTTATGAATTCGTAAGTAGAGAAGACAAGACGCTTGTTGTTAACAGAAGACATTCGTGATCAGTTCTTGTGTTAATCCTCAAATCGAAAATGAATAGATTTTTTGAGATTATCACGAAAGCTGATCACACAAGCGTATATTCAATGTCAATGAATTTTATTTTTAATACAATTAAACGAATATTTGTATTTATAATAAATATTTAAGATTTTCTTTTTTTAGTATGAAACATAAATATGCATATGTTTATTGAAATAAATTGAAGAGTAACAGATTTGTCATGTACGTTGAAGTGTTTTGTATATTACTTGATATCTAGTTAAGAATGATTAGTATCATAAACACGAAAAAAAGAGTACCTAAGCTTTTCTTTTTTACACTACTGATCGATTCAATCTAGTTTTTAGGAGTTGATAATATGGTGATATTAATTTCATAGAATTGAAATAGTAATCATGACTTAAACTCAGATTACAATTATTTGCATAATCAAGTACATTGTTGAGAGACATCATGTTTTTTCTATAGTGCATCACACCCTCAAGATGAATAAAAAAAGAGCAGATTTGCGGATATCAACGAAACAACCTTATGTTTCGATTTTTACTATAAAGCAATTAGTTTTATTTGATCATGATTACCGCAAGACTTTTACAATCATTTACTGAATATAAACTTAACCTTGGATAAATTTTATACACATCATAAGACAAGAGTAGCAGAATAAATATAAATGAATACAAAGATTCATCTGTATGATACATTTGATTCAAATTCTGTTGGCTAAAATAATTAAATTTAAATAAAAGAAACTCAAACATGTAGAACTCGATTAACTGATTGTAATACAATTAAAATCAAAAGAGACTAAACTGTATGATATTCAATTCAAGTAAGGCTCATGTTTCATCAGATTTTACATTCTAATGCCTTTATGTGGACATACTCAAAATTGATAGTAATTTGTATTTGAATTATTCAATTAATAAACGGATCTCTATAACCTTTTACATGTGTTATAATTAAATATACAGTGTTTAAAGAATGTTTATCACAATCTGAAATACTAGTAATATTGTGAAACTACCGATAAGTGCAAAGCTCAGTCTTATAAGAAATGAAAGCTGATTGACTCACAGCAATTAAGACCGTTGATTCTCTATTTTTATTTCCTGAAGAATCTGATTAATAATATAAACAAAATCGTTCAGGTCAACATGAATCGGAGCAGCATAATCTCCGTATCCTTTACATATCCAATATTTATGATCTAAATGAAGACTCATTTCAGCATACATTTGAGGAAAAACCATTCCAGTTGTGTATCCAATTTCGACTACGTATGTTCCTGGTGATGCCCATAGAATATTCATCATTCCAGCTCCATGAGGGCCTACGATCACACGAGCTCGACGAAAAAGAGCAATATGATCACGCATGTGTCCTTGAGCTTCGAAGATTTCAAGATGAAGATTTGATGTCATGTTAGATTCCTTAAGTGCAGATGTTATCAACACAGCTAAGCTTGAATGCTCAATAATCGATCGTGCACGTCCTTTGTTTCGTTTAATGAGAATAATGCGATCTTTTTTAACAATCGATTGTTCTTCATCACCGGCCAAAACTCGATGAACAAGTTGCATATCAGTTCGATCATGAAGATGATTAGGAATGGGTCGATTGCCGACATAAGGCCAGGTTTCACTACGATAAACAATACTGGCAAAGTGATAAGAACCTTTGTGTGCTTCATAAGGGATAATTCGATCACGTGCAACTATACCTCGTTCTACAAGAACATCTACCAATAAATCAGCAACACCACCTTTTGATACGAGAACTTTAGCTGTTGTTGGTGCAGTTGCAAGCAGACGCAATAATCGTGGTAGTTGTTGTGGTCCAAAATGTCCGGGTGCACTAAGATACGTTCCAATTGAATCAATTAATTCAGTATGTTGATATTTCGGTTTAATTCGTGGGATATTATAGATACCATCATTACCACATCGTGCAGTCCATGTTTGAAAATGAATTGTAGCATGCTCAGTAAAGATTGTTCCGGGTACTTCTGGATGACAGTAACCTGTATCGATGTAACCTTTAAACACAGCGATTGCTACAAATCTTGAAATTGCCGGAATTAATTCACTGAGTTCCATTGGTGATCTATTACATAAAGGCCATCCTTCGATGTGAAGCGAAAAACATGTATCATTCAAAGAACGAGCACGAGGCACCGGATGAGGAACCAAAGTTGGTAGACGAGCCACACTATCTACAATACATCCTTCATCAGGATGAGATTGAAAATAAGCAACAACATCGTTCACAACTGTTGTTGAATTGAGTTTAAATTTACGTACTGGTGGCTGAGATGAAAGAATAGCTGGTGTACGACAACGTTTGAAATCTCCATTTTTATGCCAAGTCCAGTCAAATAAATGGGTTACATTGTATTTTCTAACCCAGTCTTGAATTTGCAATGGATTAACCATAAAAGTTGTTGGCTTTGGTAATTGTGGTAATGTGAGAAGTTTTTCAAAAGATTCATCTTGAAAGTTCAATATACGATTATAAACAATCCAAATTGATAAGACAGTCGAAAAGATTAGGATAGCAAATAATGGAGTAAGTTTTCGTCGCATTTGTTAATAACTATAGTTTATAATTTGGACACATATTTATTTTAATCATAACACAGAACAGAAAATAAAAAATAGAAAACTATCTTCTGTAGCTATCATATATTTGTTCTTTTCTGAGAGTTGAATGAATTAAAATTATGACTGGATCATTGATGGACAATTTTGCGTTTCTATTCTGTGATACAGTTAAAATGAATACATCTAAATATAAATATATATTATAAAACTACAATTTCTTCGTTCGTTAATATTGAAAATCCATAAAATATAGTTTTATTAGTACTAATCTCAGTCCCATTCTCAATCTTAATCTAAAGAGAGCTATTTCCGAGTATTTTTCATATTGAAACTGGAGAGATTCTACTATTCGTTTTTGCTCGATCAGTCGATCAAAATAGTATTTCTTTCATATAACTAATAACATGTTTTCGCATTTCAGAAAGATGTGCTCCCTGAATATGAATTCTACATAGATGGATAAAAACAAAAGATGTTTGCATGAAATATCATGTTAGACAGATAACTTTGTAAAAAAGTGAGACTTAATAAAGTATGCAATTTTTTATTGGACGAACTTATTATAATCCATTTTGTATTCTTAAATTCTTTTAATTATAAAGTAACTTACTGTTATATGATAGAAGATTAAGATTTCAGATATTTTATTCCGATGAAAGTAATATTTTTTCTAAGATCATAACAATAATTCTAGTCCAGTACAATATTAATATGGATCCTGGGAAGGTCGTTCAAGAAGTATTGCAATAAAAATCTCTGCTCAAAATTTTATTAATTAAAAGTAACGCTCAACACAAGTAACCTTATATTACTATTACTACAGACAAAACTAAATTTTTTGCTTATTTACTCATTCATTATTATTTATCATACAACATATTTAACAATAAATTATTCGTAGGCACAATTCAGACACGCTTCATTAAACTTATTCAAAAAATACATGTTCATATACCGTCGAAAGTTATTTTTAATAGAAAAAGGTCTGATAAAATATACATATTCAAATAATCCCGTTTATTAATGATATAGAACAATTTAGTAACAAATTGAAAGAATATCTCACTATTAATCCTCGATATAGATGTTTATTTAGCTATATGAACTTACTAGAAAGCAACAATATCAAATGCTTTTATTGAAGTGTGAAAAAAGACAGATACTTGTACATGAGAAAGAATGAACGAAGAAGAAATGACGCATCGCTTTATCATTTAGAGTCATTTCAATATCGATACACTCCCCTATATCATTCAGACACGCTTCTGAGCACCTGTATACAATATAAGGTAAAAAAAAGAACGATATAGAGACCGCAAAAAAAAAAGAAAAAGTGCGTAGTCAAAATTCATTCAATAACCAAACACATGAATCTAAATGTAATGTAATGTTTTTTTTTCATAAACATATTATACACTCAATAACATATTTCATTGAAAAAAAATGACGTAATAAAATAGAAAAAGTTATATATCATATGAAATATCGTATACAACTTATTTTTATATTTTCGATGTAATATAATGAAAAAATCAGTTGAGAGAGAAATTTTTATGATACATCTTTAGGAAAAGATTGAAGTTATGAAATCAATTGGAAAGAATGTTCGATGAGTATATTTAATAAATACAATTGATAATTTTTTTATTTCATTAATAATCATCAAAAACAAAAATGGATAAATAATTAGACTATTTTTTTGTCTCATTCTCTTTTTCGTAAAACAGAAAATAACAAAAAAAATGATTCTAGATATTAAATAAAAAATTCATTCTTTGATTTGCTTATTTTGTAATATATTCAATTTTCACGATGCACAAGTACAAAAAAACCAAGTGTTGCCAACACAAAATATTTCAACTGTGGATAATCATTCATTATAATTGTTACCATTCCAATATATGGAACAAATCTTAAATTAAAGGGAACAAAGAACAAATATATTTATTTAATATGATTAAAATAGAAATACCCTCGAGCTCGACCAATAACATCTTTCTTTTCAAGCCATAATTGTCCAGGAGCATAGAGACCACGATCATCAACATTATTGTTATCACCTTTAGTTAAAAATTTGACATAGTCATCATCTCTAATGTAGATATAGATAAATAGGTTATGAATGATTTAAAGAAAAAATTATTACTTTTCATGTACTTTTATTATACGATGAACAATTGGAATCTCTCGACCTTCAATACGAAATACACAAATATCACCAGCACGTATTGGTTCTTCACGATGATTTGTTAATACAAGAAGATCACCACGATGAAAAGCAGGTTCCATACTTCCACTAAAATATACATATATTTAATTTGAATTTGAATCATTCAATTAACCTGAGAACAACAACAATAGGACTTTCACTAGCAGTTATTACTATAAGACCTTTCCAGATCATAAGTGCTGTAGAAATAATCATACCAAAATTAAGAATTTGATAAATAATCTATTTTATTAAATAAAATAATCATTATATTTATACAAGATGGTATACCTGTCGTTTATCCATACGTCTAATTAATTAAAATAAAGTAAAAAACAAACGTAGATATATGATATTTTTCTAATTAAACATATCCTACCGTATATCATCAACGAACGAAAAAAGTTCCATTATGCTTCTTTTTTAAGGAGTTTTGTTTTGGAATTGAAAAGAGAAAATGTTTGGTACGAACTGTTAAATTCAAATAAATTGACTCAATGGAATCAGGGAGAGAATTCGAATTGTTTAGGCTGGTGCATGATAAATGGCTCATGTTTAAAACGAATCGAAAGTATCGATAGATGTCATTGGTATCAAGAGTTTATTATTCGTTTTTTAATTATGAAATAAGATAATATGAAATGAACAGATATTGAAATTAAATGAAAGATTACGTGATGCATAATTTCTCATTTTTTTCAGATTTATCACTTTTTCGAGAAATACTTCAGATAAAGGAAATTATGTATAACATAAGGATATCTATATTCAATCAAGCATATATACCTTCAATCAAGGGATGGGTACATCGAAAAAAATGAAAGTCAGATATTTTAGATGATCATTCTAAGAGTTAGCTTCTAAGGATAAATATTTACGATTCGAATTTGTTCTTTTCTTTCAAAAAACCTCTGTAATCGTATTACTATCTTCAATTTTGTTATATATAAATACTTTGACAAGCATGAAGGAGTTAGTCTTTCCAATCTCTCAACTACTTATGCTTGTAATCGTTAACATTTTTCATGATAATCGACAGAGTTGTCGTTAAGCTAAGAAAACATTTCAAGCAAATTAAAATATTCTTAACAATTAGATTATTTATAAATGATATTTAGAACATTATTTCTAAGATAGTAGTTATCTATTAGAATAAAACAATAAAAATACATTTGACACAGCAACGATGTGTTCTCTAGAGTAAAAATATTTAGATATTTAGAAAAAACCATATATTCAAGCTTTATAAGAGTGTCATAAGCATATTTCTTGAATTCACATTTCAAAGTAGTGTGATCTTTATCATGGCTTGAAAGAAATCAACAAAATGTTTTTGTGAGTTTCTTGTGTTCAGTCAGCATTAGAATATTGTAACAAATGTTTGATTGTATGCGTTCGCTAACAGATTTTTGTATTTATGAAGAACGATTTCTTTGAAAATAGAAGCTTTATCATAGCTCGTAATTTTCATATACTAACAAAACCTTATCAAATATCAAAGAAAAAAGTTACGACATAAGGTAGTTACTGAAACAGACGTCATGCTTAGCATTTTATTTTTCCAAAAACTCTTTTTCTTCTCTTGTACTTAGCATACATAAAAACATTGTTTATCCCTTTTAACAACTTATGTCGTTAGAAAAATAAGAAGCGTACATTACTAACTATCAATAAATAACATATGCTGATTTTATGTTAGCTTGAGAAAGTTGTAATCAGTCATTTTTTTCTAAACTAGAGTAACAGAAACACACGTCCAAAGAAATCTATTTTTTATAAAATATTTTACTCGATTAAAATCTTTTAGTTGTTAACCATAGATACAAACACACACCAGGCATTAAATTCTGAAACGATACGGGCAAGGTATGTCCTTCTTTGTTTTTTTACATGAAAAAAAAACATTAAAATTGTATTGTTTTTACAAAATAGATTTCTCGGAAAGAAACGGCTCGTGTGGATTGTTGTTGGCGTTGTAGCTGTTGTGGTCGTTGCAGCAGTTGTTATTCCGACAACTATCGTTTTGACAAAAAAGAAAATTACTACGACGGAAGTAACATTGACAACAACATCAACGACAACATCTACAGGAAGATCAACAATAAGAGTAACAAGAACACCAACAACAAGCACAACGACAACAGCTGATCCTTCTATTAGAGGTGAGTATAATGGTTATTTTTAAAAGATTGAATAATTTTTAATAACATGTATAACATGATTTGTTTTTTATTGAACTCCTACTGTCTATATAACAATCTTCATTTCTACTGCTATAGAAGGAAAGAGAAGTTCATAAGAAATCATACTTGTCCTGTGTTACTTCCCTATACAAGCTGGGCTACCTTTAGTCACTTAGTATGACCATTCAAATTCATTATAATATCAGTATTATTGAAGTGATTTTTGAATTCCATCAGGAAAAAATAAATATATGAATGAAGAATCATTCGTGGCCGGACTGCGTGAAACTGCTTTGAAGTAAGATTGAATTAGACCCAGTGAGCCTTCTAAGTCCTCCGGATTGGGTCCAACCTTACTGAGTTCAAGCTGAATCAGAATAATTCGTACTGAATATTTCTATTGTATAAAATAGTTAGAGGATTTAAATTCTTGATTTTCTTATCCAAGTCGACAGTTCTGCATCGGTATGTCCGTTATGAAAGGGAATTTTCATCTAAATAAAATAGTTACATGCACTAAACTATATCTGTTCATACTCAGTGGCGTACCGTGATCATTCAAATATACTACTGGTTTGTTTTAGATTGGTTTGAAACAGATAATATGAACGATTCACGAGCCCTTCATACAGCATCTGTATTGAAAAACGGAAAAGTATTAGTTACTGGTGGACTATCTGACAATACTTGTCTTATCGTCTGTAAAAATGCAATAAGAACCGAACGGTTCAATATTGTTTGAATCGGCTGTGAACAAAACTCATCAAGCACTTGCCTCTATTACATATATTAGACTGGCTCCGATCAGACAACATTATTTTAGCTGTGTTATAGAGAAACGATCGGGGCTTACATAGAATGACTCTCTAAGCATAATCTGAATTTTTTTCATCATTACGTCACGGCAATACAAAAGGAAAGAAAAATATAATGGAGACCCATAAAAACGAAATTAGGGATAATAAGTGTAGCGTAAAAATAAAATTGTATGTGCCTGGCGAAAATATTATAGCTCATTGACTCATGTAGACGAATGTAAACGGGGGAAAACCAAGCAATTTCACTGAGCCAGAATGAAATATGTTATAGCTCATTTATTCACGTAGACGAATGTAAGCAGGGAAAAAAACCAAGCAATTTCAATGAATCAGAATGAAATATATTTCGTTAGTGGTTGTCTATTTCACCCAAATGTCACAGCTGATCGGGTTCGTGAATATGTATGTTGGAAAAAACTAAGTTACTTTTATCGACTATAAATACAAGCGAAATCGACTACAAAGACACAAATGAAACGCGCATATTATACGACTGTATCACGTAATCCGTAAGTAAGTCTGATTTTTAATATTAATTCGACTGTTATGTCAAGATGCGAAATTAAATCCAAGCAAGGGGAAAAAGCGGATCTTCTTGGATCGTGGGATCTGAAAGAATCCAACAACATCCATCACGGTCCAAAGAATCTACTGTTTCTAAAAGTATTTAACAGGACCCATGAGGATCTCTAAGTATCCAGAATCTAGGACTCGCTTTTTCCTCCTGGAATTTAAGTGTACCGATCTGTCGATACCACCATTTCATAATTCTCTGCTTTCGTCTCTCTTTTATTCCTTTATACTTACATCGCTCTCCTATATAAATGTGTGTTCAATGTGAAGTAGCTACACTCAAAAAAAAAGGTATTTTACCAAACCTTTAAAAAATGTCCGCAGATATCGACGAGCCTCCAAAGGAAATCAAAGTCTCAAGAAAGGATCAAAATATCTACGAAACATCTAAGGATTCTTCCCATGTGCCCGCCAGTACAACCTTCTCCTACAAAACCTTTTTAAAGTTTCGTACAGCAAAAAAGATTTCGTAGAAGAAATACGATGGTATTAGAGTTTCGTTTTAAACCACAATGACTCCGTACTAAACCCTAATGATTTTGTAGGTTTCAATACGAAACTCTAAAGACTTCGTATTTTTCTTAGGAAACCCGTTTTTGCTGTAAGAAACTTAAAAAAGTTTCGCAGGAGAAGGTTCTTTCAGCGGGCACACGAAAAAACCTCTAAAGGTTTTGTAGATTTTTTTTATCCTCTCTTTGAGACTTTGGACTCATCTGGAAGCTTTTAAATATCCACGAAACCTTTTTTATGAGTTCTGTAAATTACATTTTTTGTTTAGAGTGCACACCCGTAAGCAAGGACGAAACGCGTCGTGTGATGTTTACAATCCTTATTCTATTGAATTTTCGCTAATAAAATCGAATTATTGGATGAAGTTCTATCCTTTTAATATTCTTGTTTGAAATTAATACAGTGCATAAACCTACCCGATGATTTTGGTCCTTGAGAAAGACCGAAACTATAGTTGTAGAATAACTTAAATGAAATACTCACCCACCCCATCAACAACTACTATAACTCACACACAACATATAGACCTTACTGTAATTTAAAACTTCTTTTCTAATCAAGATAATCAATAGAAAGAAGTAGTAGCTGTATTGTTCTAAACAATCTCATTATTTTTTGTAATATCTCTTTTGTGAATAAGAGTTCAATTTTGCCACTTCGGAAGATCATACTAAATTAGTTATTCGAATTCACAGTACACGTCCAGCAAAAGTTCGAGAAAGACATTTGATCACTCATGTTCTAAATATAGTCGTATATTTAAAACAAATATATATTCCCTTTTCTGAAAGAAAGGGTTATAGGCTCGTTAAACAGGGTCGTTAAAATGCTTAAAGCTTGTTTGTTTGTCCAAGCCAATTAGATTGCAGCATTTCACAAGTCAACGAAAACTTATCGGTGGTCACCAGAAAATGATTGACCAAAAGTAATCGGGGTCGGGGGATCATAATCTGATGTTAGTTTTGGAAAATTTATAAGATTTAGTAGTGACTACATTATAGAAACTCTAGTAGAAGTAATCGCAAGAAAAGTTATTAATTTAGTATCAGTTTTACTTAAAGATTTTTTCGTTGTTGATTACTATACGTTATATCTTTCGATTTAGTCCACCTTCGCCGAAAAATTTTTTCGCCGAAGATGAATTTCGCCGAAAACTATTTTTCTCCGAAGGAAGTTCGCCGAAAAATGAAATTTACCGAATTGATCTTACAAGCAACAATTGTGTATTGGATAATAAGTCTATGATACCAAATCAACTGATCTTCAAGCGGGCGGCATTCCAAGTCAGATGTATCCCGTGTCATTTGGTTGCCATCTCAGATGGTTACCAACTGACTTGGCTACCATCTGAGTTGGCTACCAACTGACTTGGCTACCAACTGACTTGGCTACCAACTGA